TCAATATCCACTAAACAGCATTATTAGCCAGACAGAAGAGGAATATTAAGGAATTGGGAATTTCTAGCCCAAAATATCAGAGACCAGGTTGCAACTGATGGCTGGGGAATTCTGGAAGTTTTGAGGTCCATATATTTTAAAGTTTCTGAGGTTGAGAAATATTAGCCTAAGGGAAATTGGCATGAAATTATTGCTACATAAGCAAATAAAATGTTGTCTTCCATTTTGTTCATCTGTCATCATTTGCATCCTCATGTCGCTTCCCTAGAGGGACCCACGTGATGCATTTCAGCAGCAGGCATGTGGGATCCAGGCACTTAATGAAACCACTGAGGAACTAAAGTTACACTTAGGAACTAGCATTTTGTTATTCACCAGAAGAATCTATTTGGACCTGAAGCCTTATTAGGAACCTCACAATATGTCACTTTCCTTCCTCAGCAAACTAGGGGAATATATTAATAAACAAAGCAAAAAATACAGCCATTCGGAGTCTGAAAGTTGTGGGAAGGGAAACGAGGAAGCAGTTTCTTTTTCAATCACCAGAGAATTACTGTCATCATTATGACAATGATATTGTTCTTCTTTTCCTTCGCCTCCCATATTAGAGTAGTATCCAGAACCAGAACCAGAACCAGAATAGAAAAAGAATAAAATATTGTAATTTCAGATTCTTCAAGAGTGATCAGTTGGCTTCTTGTAACATGCTAAATTCTAAACTTAGGTTACCAAGACATGGTTTTTGTTTGCACATAACATGTCCCCAAGTAAACCAGACATGGGTTCCCATAACATGTAGCTGAATTCTTATAACGCATAGTGCACCTTTAATCTCATGGACTGTTGTCTGAACTCAGTGAGTTCTTCTCCCTATTCTTACTCCTTTTTTGTGCTGTAAGAAAATTATGCTTTGAATAATTCAGACAAGTACTCTCACCACTGCCAACTACTCCCACAAGGAAAGGAAACTGTCAGAACAGAGAAACTGAAATGGCGTAACGCTGTGAATTAGCTCATCAGCTTCTTTCTTTTTAAATTGGAAAAAAAACTTTATTATAAGCATAAATCACTTTACACTCTTCAAGCTGATGTTAAAAATTAGAAAAGACACAAGAGAATGAAATACTAAAAGCAAAGTAAAAGAAACACATAAAAACAACGTAAGATGTAGCTTTCAACATCAGACTTCCTCTTTCCTTCCCATTGTCTTCTATCTCTTACTACTACTTAAGAATTTATATTCTTTTCCTTGACCACTGGAAATTACAGCTTGTGTCTATTTGGATGGTTTGCTCTACTGTTTAATTAGCTGTTTGTTATCACAAACAAGAGTGCCACCAAAATATGTCATTGGCAGCTGGTTGTTAGGATTTCTGAACACAAAGTAAAAAATAGCATTCAACAGAACGATTATTATTTTTTTTGAAGGAAAGACGCTGCTTCTTACAAAGTCGAAAACTAAATATTTAGAATACCAAGCATCAGTGTATTTACAAGGGTACAAACCATCACCCTTGTGATGCGCTGTTTGGCCTCTTTCTCATTTTCCCAACACAGAACTGCACTAAGGGAATGCAGGCAATTAAAAATAGACCCGAGATTCAAGCAAAGCAAGGACCACAGTACAGAAATAAATAAATACAACTGCTCTTTATTTTCAAGTTCAGAGTCTCAACCCCACTCAGCATGGTTGTGGTGGGTGAGGACAATATCCATGCGGGCATCCCCAAGTGGGGTAGTAGGAATTGCCAACTTTCATTATAAAAAGACGTCAATCTCTGACCCAGATTAAGATAAAGTATGCAACTATTATTCCACCCGTTTATTTTGTAAGAAACTAGCCTGGCTGCCTCTCCTTTCTTCTCCTCACTTCAGCTGCTAGATTAATGTCCAGTTGCATACCAAAGGGAGGGGGGGAGAGAGGGCATCCACCTTGGGGGCAAGCAACAAGGCTGAAAATCAGAAGGCAGCTAGCAGCAGGTGCGCAGTAGTCAGCTGGTTGATGTGGCACAGCAGCAATGGGAGGGGAAAATGTGCCTTCAAGTCAGTATTGTCTCCCAGCAACTACCCCCTGCAGCATTTTTCAGAAGTGACATGCTAGTTCCCTCTTCCTCAGTCTGCAAGTAAACAACTGGCCAAGCTCAACCAACTCACTTCATGTCTAAAGTGAGATTAGAACTCGAGGTTTCCTGTTTTCTAGCCTGGTGCCTTAATCCCTTACATCAAACTGGATCTTAGCAGCAAAACAAGTATGTTAGTTATAGGTTTAGTGTAGTACACTTATATGTCCTACAGATTTAACTTTTTTAAGGGAAATGTAGTACAATTTATAAGCATTCGTTTAGTGATCGTTCGAAATTATAAGAGCACTGAAAAAAGTGACTTATGTCCGTTTTTCACACTTACAACTACTGCAGCATCCTCATGAGCCTGTGATCAAAATTCAGACGCTTGGCAACTGGCATGTATTTGTGACAGTTGCAGTGTCCTGGAGTCATGTGGTCATCTTTTGCGACCTTTTGACAAGCAAACTTAATGGGTAAACCAGACTCACTTAACAACCATGTGATTAATTTAACAACTGCAGTGAATCACTTAACAACAGTGGCAATAAGGTTGGAAAATGGGGCAAAACTCACCTAACAACTATCTTACTCAGCAAGAGAAATATTGGGCTCAATTGTCATAACTTGAGGACTACCTAGATATGGAGTTGTTGAAATTGATTATAAAGATTGCTAATTGTTATGACAAGACAGGTTTGGGTCTACGGGAATCGTTCAATAAATCTGCCATATTTCTTTCTTCTTGAACATAAGCTCACCCTTCTACACAACTGCAGGTATTAGTTTTAAACTAAGGCACTTTGTGAGTTCAGGCAGCATGCCAGAATTCAGGTTTTCTCTGGAGAAAATCTTCTGAAGATATGTACATCTTAGCAGAGCTATTTGGAAAGTACACCCCAGCAAAGAGATACCAAGTTATAAGCCACTAGATAGATAAAATAACTAAGCAGTACCTATTTTTTAAATTTTTGTTATCCAGACTTCTTCACCAAAATGGCTTTACTTATATTATAAAAATAAAGATAAAACAACAATTATGCATGAATCAAACAAAAGCAGCTATTATATAGAAAGAAAAAGGTACACAGCCAATATAAATGATAATTTGAATAAACATATCTCTATATAATAGAAGAAGGGCAAGAGAAAGAACCAATTAAGAAATAAAGGTGCAATTTACTCAGTAGTAAAATCTTTTGTTTTTCATCCAGAAGTCCCCTGGGTTAACATCTGCCTCTCCGTCAAGACTAAGACAGATTCTATTCTGAACCCCAGAGACTCTTTGCTGTAAGTCATCATAAACCAGAGCTAAGAAATTCATAGCAACCAGAGCTACAGTTAATATTTTATGCAGGGTGGCTGTGGACCATAAAGGGCAGAGGTAGGGTAAAAAGTAGATAGGGCCGTATCTCAGATGTGAGCAAAACAAATATTGGAGAATTTTTCATATAAATTGGGAGACAATTTAGGACAGTGGTTCCCAACCGTTCCAACTTGGCGGCCCGGCACGTCAGGGGAGGAGGGAGAGAGGGGATCGTTCTGTGTGAATGGTAGGCACACGCAAGTGCATAGATCTCCATTTGTGCAAGCGGAGCTTCACGCACGAGCCTGCCGTTTGCATGAGTGGAGCTGCACACGCATACACGCTCCCCCCACCCCACGTACACGAGCCGCTTCCAAATGGGCCGTGACTCAATAGTGGGCCGCAGCCCGGGGGTTGGGGACCCCTGGTTTAGGGGATGTTTGTCTTTTAACTATACTATATCTATCTTTAAGATTTATGTTACATTTGTATTTTTCATGTTCAATACTTTAGAAAACCATTTTACCCATTTTTAAGAAGAAAACAATAGTGGAAAAAATGAGTCCTTGGTCAGTAAAAAGAAGTTTGAGGGTACCCTATTACTGCATATGTATTTACAATATTACCGTGTCAGACAAATAGTCTAATTTGGTATAATGCATCATTCTATGTTCTTGTAGTAGAACATGGGGAATCTCCTGAGAAAATATGTGAAGCGTTGAATCTCATGAAAAAGATCATATTGCCAGAAAATATTTAACATGTTCTTAAGGTCCTGCTATAATATTACTGTCATGAAGCCTTGGTGGCGCAGCGGCTAAAGTGCTGTTAAAGTGCTGCCAGCTGCCTGCAATTACTGCAAGTTCAAATCTCACCAGGCTCAAGGTTGACTCAGCCTTCCAGGCTGAGGTAGGTAAAATGAGGACCCGGATTGTGGGGGCAATAAGCTGACTTTGTGTAAAAAAGAACACCGCTTAGGGGAAGCCAAAAGCCCTGCTAAGCAGGTATATACAAAAGTATGAAGGCTATTGCTTAACGCATTGTAAGCCGCCCTGAGTCTCCGGAGAAGGGCGGCATATAAATCAAACCAATAAATAAATAAATAAATGAAATATAATTTTAGACAATAGATGCAGAGACAAGAGTATTCTCAAGTGTATTTCAGAGGCACTTCAATAAATAGCCCTTAGCAATCAATTATGTTCATTGCCTACCATAAACAATACAGCTAGTCCTTGATTTATGACCATAATTGGGCCCAAAATTTCATTGCAAAGTGTTGAGTTTTGCCCCACTTTATGACCTTTTTTGCCACAGTTATGCGAATCACTGCAGTTATTAAGTGGATCGTGTGGTCGTTAAGTGAATCTGGCTTTTCCCATTGACTTTGCTTGTTAGAAGCTGGCTGGGAAGGTTTCCAATGATGATCACATGACCCCAGGATAGTGCAATGGTCATAAATGATCACATACACCCTTGGGGATGCTGAAATGGTGTTAAGGGTGAAAACAGTCGCAATTCACTTTTTTCAGTGCTTCAAATGGTCACCAAATGAATGGTTCTAAGTCAAGGAATACCTGTACTGGCATTTATATACCTGGGTTCCGGAACATACAGATCTATAGACTTACCTTCCTCAGCCATGTCTTTATCCAGTACCAGTTTCCCATGTCGAAGGAAATTCAGAATAGGTCCAAAGTAAGTTGGATCTCGATCTATGAGATACGCGCCGGTCTCATCCTAAACCAAAAGCAAAGAAACAAACAAGCCATGTTTTCTGAGTTCTTTATTTACTTGAATCTTCAAAAGATTTTTGAATACAATCCTTCACGCAAACCTCTGAATAAATTTAGTTTTCAGGGATAACAAATGAAATATTATGATGGTTCATTAACTGCTTAAAAACAGAGCCGAGAGAAAGAATTAACGGTCAGCTTTCATAATAAAGGGGCTATAAACACCAATTGGGACATGTGCTTCTTATATAAGCCTTGAAGTTAAACCAGTGAGAAATCATTTAGAAATCAGCAGTCGTGTAACCAATTTTGCTGACCCTTCATTACTGAAGAGTGGTAAAAGAAAATGAGCTCAAGGACTCTTCTCAAAAAGGTTGAATGGGCATTAATATAAGTTTATATATACAATGATACAAAACAGGGCAAAACTTTTTGAAACGTTTTATACACACACACACACACAGAAAGAGAGAGAGAGAGAATAAGACAGATTCATACATACCATATTGATGGGAAAAAAGTGGCAATGACTGATCAGAAACAGATCTTGACAACTCTACAAAGGGGGAAGGTATTTATTATTTATATCTTGCCTTCATCATTTTTTTATAAATAACTCAAGGTGATGAACATCTACAATTCTCCTTCCTGCTCCTATTTTCTCCACAACAGCCACCTTTAACAGATTAACAGAGTTGGAAGGGACCTTATAGGTAATCTAGTCCAACCCCCCAACCCCCCCAAGCAGGAGACCCTACACCATTTCTGACAAATGCAGTCCAGTCTCTTCTTGAAAGCTTCCAGTGATGAAGCTCCCACAACTTCTGAAGGCAAGAGAGAGAGACTGGCCCAAGGTCACCCAGCCAGCTTTCATGCCTAAGGCCGGAAAATTTGATGTCCTGATCTCTAGCCTGGTGCCTTAACCCACAAGACACACATCCCAAGATAGCATCCATTAGGAAAAAAATAAAACAAATTGTACTGCCAACATTAAATGTGTTACACAGATATACTGTTCACCTATGACTGCTGTATCTCAAAAATGGTTGATTCTCAAAACTGCTTTAAAAAAATCAATCTGGAAAAACTCTCCAAAGAGAAAACATCTTGCAGAGATAGGTTTTTTTTGGGGTGGGGGGGGGGGGGGGTGGAGGGGGGTGGTGGTGGAAGGAACTAGGGAATAATGGGCAAAAAGGGAAGTCTGTTTTAAACTATGCACACTCAGCAAAAGAGGTTTTTGTCTCTGTCATATTTATGGGAACCCTAAGTCATTAAATGTAGTTGAATAGCAGGAGATTCAGGGCAAATAATTATAATGGTATTTAAGCTGTGAAGTATTTAAATATTTCTTAGATAAATGATGAATGCACTACATCAATATACTGAGTTCGTTCAAGCCTTGTGCTATGGCATAAACTATTATTTACATAAAACACAATGGCTAAGTTTGCAAAACGAAGTCAAAACCAATTGCATGTATCTGCAGGATCAGAGGGGGAGAAAAAGCAAAGTTGCCAAGAAATATAGGAAGAGAGGGATTTGGCAAGGCAGGCATACTTTGTGTGTTTGTGCATGTGTACGCAGGCACAACTGTGTACTTCCTCCAGATAATATTGGCCAATTTGAAACAATGTCGTCACGAAGACTATACAGTATTCATAAAACAGATTAAGATGTGATCTGAGTTAATCAAATTGGCCGGGTTCACCCAAGAAACTAAATTTTATATAAATTCTATTCAGTTTGTCATGGAAGTGTAAATCAGAGTGACTAAAAGATATCTGCCAAGTTCTAACATGCTGCATCTAAATGAACTCTCCTTTAGTTATTATGGCTTTAGTTGTTAATCTGGCTCACAAATTACATTATCACAGTGGCTGAATTCCTTCAATATGCTAAAGCCCCTCTTAGCCTAGCTTAGTTGTGTGTAAATCCAGCCATCCCACATTTTAACCTAACATGTTGTCCAAAGTCAGCAGCTTTTTGATCCTATCATAATATTTATTTTAAGGCTGTATTCTTTATGCATATCCTTGGAGAATAAACACTGAAGTCAACCGCCCTGACTGAGGGTATGCTTTACTCCATTTAAAACAACAACAACCCAAAAACATCCTGCGGATGAAGTTTTTGAACGGCTGCCCAAGACTACATTAGCCTTAGCAAAAGCTGCCTCGAGCGCCAAGATAAATTGACTAAAAGACCCACATTAACACAAGGGATGTTACGGTGAGGAAGAGGAAGAGGAAGGAAACGATTCCTAAATTCGCGGTTATTTTGAGTACTGGGCAAGATTTCTTCGAGGCGGAGCAGCCCCTTGGGGGTGGACAAGTGGAGTTTTCGCGATCTTTACCGAGGCTTTTAGCGGAAATCGGCGCGCTTCGGAGATAAGAGGCGATCAACATTATCTCCCGTCGAGCCATTGAAATCAGCACACTCGCGTGCAAAAAACAGAAGCTCGGAGACTTTCTCGGCGTCCGCATTTTTCAACAAGCGGAGCGATTGGCCTGCGGGCATTTAAAAACAAGTTTCCTCGCTTACGCTTTCGTTGCTCATCAGGCAGGCAGAGACGCCCCGCCAGAAAACGGACGCTTCTATAAAGACTTGCCTCGCTTTTTAAAAGACTTGGGTAGCCGAAGCGTACCGGGAAGAAACCCTCGTTCCTATGTAAAGCTCCAAAACCCTGAGAAAAAATGGGGGTGGGGTGGGGAAGGGAGAGTAAGAGACTCGAGCCTCCTGACCAACTTTGCGTTCCCGAAATAAACATGCGAGTGTGACTTTGCAAAAAAAAAAAAAAAAAGAAAAAAAAACATCTGCTTATGGGGACAAGACTCGAAAAGTGGGTGAAGCGAGGGGGGAAAGCTCGATCCCTTAGCAAGATTATTCCCAAGTGGGCTCCGATCTTCCGAAACAAAGGGACACCCCCCCACACACACACACACACTTCATTGCTGGCCACAGCGGGAGCCTGGGCGCTCTCCACGCCCTGCGATTGAAGCGAAGGGGGAGACCCGCTCGCGTGTTCGCAAACCAACCGCGCTTCCTTGGAGGGTCGGTGGAGCGCGGGCGCTTACCCGATCTGACTGCAGCTCCTCTCCCTGGCAAAGGCGGCAGAGGAAGGATTTCTGCTCGCGGCACAAGGTCTGCTTGGTGGTTAAGAAAACGGTGCCCCCGACATTCAGCCGAACCCATTTGCCTCGGCTGCTGGGGGGAAGCGGCTGTTGCGAGCAATCCCACGCGTACGAAGTAGCCTTCTGTGCAGCCGGTGCGTCCTCCCCTCGTTCCATTCTCATCTCTTTTCTCTGGGCGCCTCCCCTCCTACTTTCACAAAGAGGCGGGACGCGGCTTGCAGGTGTTGAGCCCCGGAGGATGCTGGGGCTTGTAGTTTCTTTCGAGGGCGGGAGACCCAAAAATCAAGCACGCGGGATGTTGTCATACTTGAGTGACAGGATTCTTTGCCGAGTTTCCTTTGGATGACAACTCAACGATCTTTTTAGGCAGAAAGAGCAGAAACAATTTAAAGCAGTGTTTCTCGGTCTTGGCAACTTTTTTTTAAAAGATGAGTGGATTTCAACTCCCAGATTTTCCCAGTCAGCATGTTTCAATAAAAGTCCACCCATTTTAAAGTTGCCAAGGTTGAAAAATGTTTTTTTAAACACATTTTAATGGCTGAGAACTGAGAACCTTCCTACAAGGTGAATGAATTTTCACTAGATCTGGGAATTGGATGATATTCCAAATTTTTAGGATGATATTCCAAATTTTTAAGTTAATCGTTAAGGCTCCTTGAGTGCCATTTAGGGAACTGGTGGATTGATTTTTTAATAATCTTTTGATAGTCTACTGGACAAACATATCCAGGGCTAAATCTTATTTATAGCATCATTACATCACTATTCTATTTTGCCAAGAAGGTTGTAAGATTCAGTATCTCTTTTCTTTCTAGAGATATCTGTATTGGGTCATTTTTAAAAACAAGAATGTCATAATTTCCTAAACCCCATTCAGTAAACTGGAAATTAGTAACTTCTACAGTTCAGGGATGTCCAACACATGTAATTTCTTTCCTTAAAAAAACCCGTTCCCTAGATTTGTACTGTAAACCACTGCTTTAATTTCTCCTTTCAAAAGCATGGAGCTTAATTAAGAATATGTCAGCTTTTCAAATGCAGACCAGACAACCAAAACCCAATTACCTCTATTGTAAAGTTAAAGTAATAGAATTTTGCAAGTCTGAAAGTCCCCCTCTCCTGCCTTTAGTTGCAGAGACTTGGAGGGGGTTGGTCAATTCTGATAGGCTTTCTCCAGTGCTGGTTCCAGCTTTGGACTCATATTTCTCTTTCAGATTGTCTAGACTGAAATCTTTCTCCTATGTACTAAGGTAATTTTCAGAGCCCAGTACAGTATATGTCATTTTTCCCTCATAGCAAATGCCACATCACACAGCTTATCTCTTCAATTTACTTATATTTGGTTCACTACCAGGTGACCTATCTGAATAAAAGCTGGAGTTAGCAGTTAGTATTGAAAGATCAGTACTTCTATGGTGGGGTTATTCTGTAGCATGGTTTAGGACCGGTGTCTGCAACCTGCGGCTCTGGAGCCGCATTCGGCTCTTTCGTCCCCCTGCTGTGACTCCCTGTCCATTTAACCCACCACTGGCTGGCCCCGCCCCTCGCCTTCCCCTCCCAGTCACTCCTCGCCTGGCCTGAGAAGGTAAAGGCGATGGCAGGGGATGGAAACTCGCTCCATATTCCAAAGCAGGAGCAAAGTATCCCTGTACTCGCCATATCTCGCAGGCGCTTCTTCCAGCCCTTGTAGGTGTCATGCAGACCTCGATCATTCGGGGAGATGCGCGACTTGCTCTCTTCCCCAAGACACTGGCCCAGCCCGGCTGCAACTAATGCTCTGCATCGTAATGGGCTCCAGGAGGAGGAGGGGACACCATCTCCCCACATTGTGAAGCGTGCTAAATTTAACTGTGCTGTGCAAGGCACTGTGAGAGCAGTGGGCAGACTATGGAGGTGGCAACAACAGCGGCATTGGCCGCAGTCAGGCCAAGCCAGTGTCCCGGGGTGGAGAGCAAGTCGTGCATCTCTCTGAGTGACCAAGGTGTTTCTTTGCTGTGGGAAACGGGTCCAAATGGCTCTTTGAGTGTTTAAGGTTGCAGACCCCTGGTTTAGGATTTGGCAGGAATGTCTGGACTAAGACTTAATGGAGCTGAAAGTGGGGCAGAATTAGTGTTATTGGGGTGCAATTTTCTGGAGCCAGTAAAATGATGTTTTAGCTTCTGTGAGGTTGGATTTCAGAGAATGAGATGGTGCTTTTTGTTAGAGAGTAGAGATTTGGAAGAAAGAGTTAGAGAATTTAATTTGTGGTGGGGTATGTCAAGATATGTCATCGTATTCCTTCAGGTATTGGTTCCTGATGGCATAAAGCTTTTATGGGATGAGATGAGAGAAAAAATGGCCAACAACAGATAATATCAAAGATGATAAGGAGTCTGGTGACTAAATCCTATGAAGAGTGGCTAAAGGAACTAGGTAGCTGAACAAACATTTTCCATTTGGTCTAGTCTAGAACTAGCTGAATTCAAACTGCAGTTTACTACACAAACTGGCACGGACAGAAGTTTTCAGAATTTGACCCACTTCAGGATAAGAACACAAAATAAAGTAATGAATCGTTAAGGACACCAAAATGCTTTTGATTTAAAAATGTTTGTACTATGGCATTTTCATGAAAATGAATAGAAACCAAATTACAGGACTCAGTGGAGGAACAATTAATACTAAATAGCCAGGAGCATGACACAATTTGCCATAGTTACAGTGCAAAATTAATCCCCTTAAAAAGCAAACTTCTTTTTTGTGGTTGCAAATCTCCAGAGTTCGTGTGTTCTACCTGGACCTCTAATTTGATCTTCCCATAATTAATGCTTTCTTTGCTATGAAAAATGGGCAATATCTATACATGGCAATGGAGACAAGCAAAAGAATGGCAAATCCCACAATTCATTATCAAAACATTTCACTCAACAGGTAGAACATCTTGAAGGACAGCCCCTTCTCTAATGTTTCTGTCTTAGCAGAAAGCTGTGCTTCAGAGGCTCTTCCCCATCCTCTCTGAGATGATGTCTTCAGGCTGTGCGCGCATGAACCACTCTACCCAAGCCCCATCATAAATGGCCACATCGGACTTTCCACACAGATATGCTCCTAATGCCACGTGGCAAGCGGTGACTCCTGAGCCACAAGTAGCCACAAGAGGTTTGGAGAGGTCTACTTTCTTCTCTTGAAACAAGCTTTGGATAGTTTCTGGGCTTTTCTCCAAGCCTGCCTCAGTGAGGAATTCTGTGAAAGGAAAGTTCACAGAGCCAGGGATGTGACCAGGTTCGATTCCTGGAGAAAGTTTGAAAAAAATGAAATACTATTAAAATTCATTCAACAAAATTGCAAAATGAGAAACACAATTTAGAAATAATGTGTGCACACACACATGGATTCTGTATGTAGTAAACCTTGAAATCCTATACATAGCACTAAGTTTTTAAGTAGGCATGATTGCTGGGAAATTCTGGGAGCTGAAGTCCATGTATCTGAAACTTGTCCGTTTGAAAAATACTGGTTTATACTAATGGTAAAGGATGAATTCCCACTTCCCATTTGCTCCAGTAAACCATAATATAAGGTGAGGTTAACTAATATCACCCATCTGCTGGAGAACATGAGGAACATGTTCTGTTCCTCATAACTGACTGTTCCTAGTTCTCTAGTGTGCAGAAAAAAACTTTATTTGACACCTAATAAAGTTGTAAAAATCTGAAGCCATGCTGTTCCTTCTCTGATCTGGGAAGGCTTTTGACAATTTTTGGCAGTCCCATCACCTTGTACTTCATATTTCTCCTACAAGGAGTGAAAGATGCAGCAAAGATGAAAATCAAATGTAGCTAGTATGATATTAGGAATAATGACAGCCCAACCTCTGCCTGTTCTGTTAATCCCATACACATTTTATTATACACAGTAGTAATGCATAAATTACTGCCGTTTGATATACTGTATAAATAAATAATGCCCCACCCTCTCCTTTCAACAACATCCTTATTAGGAGGAACTACTGGTATATAGACATTTCTTCTTGACTTGAGAGGTCAGAGGAAATGGCCTTGAAATACAGCAGGAAGAGCCGCTACTAAATTAACAGTCAGATGAAAGGGAGCCCAAATCTGGGCAAAAACTGAAATGAACACCTCAGACAAGCCCTTCCTCCCTAGTTCACACATTTATCATTTATTAATTAAGCTTATATGCAGCCCTCTCTCCGGAAAGGACTCAGGGCGGCTCACAGCAATAAAAACAGACAAAATCAATATTAAGTGTTAAAAACCATTAAAACTCCCCTTAAAAACTCCTACAGTCCAATTCGGCCTGGCAAAATAACCATGTCTTAAGGTCATGGCGGAAAGAGTGCAGGTCAGGGGCCACCCGGAGCTCCAGGGGGAGTTGATTCCATAAGGTAGGTGCGCCCACAGAGAAAGCCGGTTCCCTAGGAGTCACCAGACGACACTGCCTGGCCAACAGCACTCCAAGGAGGCCCTCCCTGTGGGAACGCACCGGGCGATGGGGAGCTGTCGCTGGCCGCAGATGGTCCATCAGGTACCCCAGGCCTAGGCCATGTAGGGCTTTATAGGTAATAACCAGCACCTTGAATCAAAATATACTCTGTTTCCCCCAAAATCAGACATCCCTTGATAATAAGCCCAATCGGGCTTTTGAGCGCATGGCAATAAGGCCAAGCGCTTATTTCAGGGTTCAAAAAAATATAAGACAGGGTCTTATTTTTGGGGAAACAGGTAGATAAAGGGAGGAAGGGGGAAGCATAATCAGATTTGCAAGATTCTGTTACTATAGCTCAACAGTAAAAGTAGTATTGACCTACGTGTCATTGGTTTCCTAATCTCTTCTATCTTGAAGTGCTGGCAATTTGCAAAACTTCCCTTTTTAACATAAAGTTTTAAAATCAGAGCTTTTAATCTCAGAGCTAAACCAGCCCAACAATTCTGTCAGGCTCCAAAATCAAAAGACACACTGAGTTACTCCAAAGCAATCTCCTTTATTGTTTCTCAAATAGACAGAAATCTTGCTATACTAAAGGAGCTATTTGCACCAATAAAGATATACTCCGAGAACTTCAAGGGAGGAATTTTCTTGAGCCTCTTCCTCTACCTCTTCAAACTATCCGAACTACCTAAACTTCACTGTCTCTTGCTCCTCTAGAATGCAGCCCCTTCCTCCTGGGAATCCAGACTACATTCCACCACATCTACCCTCCAAACGTAAAGAAACCATTACCTTCTCGGGGCTCTGGTTCCGTCCCAGCGTACCTTCCAGCAGCTCGTGCATCGACTACTTGGAACCGGCGTGAGTCAATGTTCTCCTTCACCTGCTCATAGGTCTTCACCATTGATTTATCCAGAGAAGCACGAAATTCAGCAGCAGCAGGATGACTCTTTCCAGAGCTGACAGGATACCCCTCTTTCATCCAGTTCTTCAGCCCACCATTTAGAAGGGAAACCGCATCATGGCCAAAAGCTCGGAACATCCACCAGACTCGGGGAGCCGAGAACAAGCCCTGGTCACTTGCATCATACACCACAACATGACAATCACTGCTCACTCCTAGTTTGCCCACGTACTCTGCAAAATCTGTTGCACTGGGAAGCATATGATCATAAGGTGATGTGCGATCACTGCAATGATCAATGTCGAAGAAAGCGGCTCCTGGAATATGGCGATCTTCAAACTCTCTGTGGGGATTACGTTTCATTTTGGGGAGGTACCAAGAGGCATCCAAGAGCTTCACAGACGATCCAGTTTGAGGAGACTTGATAACTTCTGATACCCATTTAGCAGTCACCAATGCCCGGTAGAGAAGCTGCTGAGACATGGCACTCACAGGCTGTTTTGGTTTGGATGTCACCTGGAATTTCCTCCGGCACTGAAGGTGAAGGAAGACAATACAGCAAATTAGGATCATCCTCACAAGAGAAAAAAAAACACCCAGGCATTATAACAAGTAGGTAGTTACCCCTGAACGAAACAGCAAGTCTAGCCAACTCTGTGGCTAAGTTAAGATGTAATGTTCTTGCTATAATCAATACAAAATTGCTTTGTTGGTCGAAGGAAAAAAAAATTGCCAGGAGGATGGGAATCTACTGTGAAATCTACATCTATGCTGAAAAAAGCCTCACCCCCATTGGTGGTATCTCACAAGTGATGTAATTTGAAGCAGACATTCGGGGAGGCCATTATAGAAAACCATAGATGCTTAAATTCCCTTGCTCCCTTGAGATGGTTCCCAAACTGTGAAAGTCCTGTGTGTGTGAGTGTGTGTGTGTGTGTGTGTGTGTGTGTGTGTGTCTGTGTGTGTGTGTGTGTCTGTGTGTGTCTGTGTCTGTGTCTGTGTCTGTATGTCTGTGTTCTTTGCCTGGTCATTCTTGCTCAGCCCAACTTCATAGAGCAATTTTTGTGGGGAAAAACTCAGAAGACGGGGAACAATGCACACTACCTTGAGCTCCTGGAAGAAAAGTAGAATGCTGTGGTGGCGCAGTGGCTAGAATGCAGTATTGCAGGCTAATTCTGCTGACTACTAAGAATTCAATCCTCACCAGCTCAAAGTTGACTCAGCCTTCCATCCTTCCGAGGTTGGTAAAATGAAGACTCAGATTGTAGGGGATAATATGCTGACTCTATAAACTTCTTAGACAGGGCTGTAAACCAGTATTGAAGTGTTATTGCTATTGCTATACAGATCTATCAAATAAATAATAAATGGATATGATTTATTACAGTTCAAAGAACACTATGATTAAACAATGCTAACAAGGTCACTTGACAAAGTATAGCAGTGGCAACATTTTTGCTTTTTCTTCCAGGGAGAGACTAATAATGTTTCTACACTATTATGCCGCCAAACTATAAAACCATTTATAAATCCAAGCATCAACAGGATTGTGTAAACAAAGTTCTGGGCACAAACACAGGGATAACATTAGAATTGTTATAACAACACAGTTTAATTAGTGAAGGTAAAATATCATCGTCATACATTTCTTCACTAAAAAACCTACTTATTTCTGCGTATAATAAAAATTGGTCCCATTCAAGACAATGATGAATCCGCATACAAATGGGAGGTTGAATAACTAGCCTCGTGGTGTGACTGGAACAATCTGGAACTGAACACACTCAAAACCATAGAAATGGTGGTAGACTTTAGGAGAAACCCTTCCATACTTCCACCTCTCACAATACTAGACAACACAGTATCAACAGTAGAGACCTTCAAATTTCTAGGTTCTACCATATCGCAAGATCTAAAATGGACAGCTAACATCAAAAACGTCATCAAAAAAGCACAACAAAGAATGTTCTTTCTGTGCCAACTCAGCACAGCCCAAGGAGCTGCTGATACAGTTCTACAGTTCTACAGAGGAATTATTGAGTCTGTCATCTGCACCTCTATAACTGTCTGGTTTGGTTCCGCAACCCAACAAGACAGACACAGACTTCAGAAGATAATTAGAACTGCAGAAAAAACAATTGCTACCAACCTGCCTTCCATTGAGGACCTGTATACTGCACGAGTCAAAAAGAGGGCTGTGAAAATATTTACAGACCCCTCACATCCTAGACATAAACTGTTTCAACTCCTACCCTCAAAACGACGCTATAGAGCAATGCACACCAGAACAACTAGATACAAGAACAGTTTTTTCCTGAACGCCATCACTCTGCTAAACAAATAATTCCCTCAACACTGTCAAACTATTCACTAAGTCTGTATCACTATTACCATTATCTCATTGTTCCTATCACCCATCTCATCCCACTTATGACTATATGACTGTAACTTTGTTGCTTGTATCCTTACGATTTATATTGATATTGTTTCCTGATTGCTTATTTGTACCCTATGACTATCATTAAATGTTGTACCTTATGATTCTTGATGAATGTATCTTTTCTTTTATGTACAGAGGGCGTATGCACCAAGACAAATTCCTTGTGTGTCCAATCACACTTGGCCAATAAAAAATTCTATTCTAAATGAATTATAATAGAATAGCCATCCTCTTAGGAAAAGCTCCAGGAATCTTCAGCAGTCCACCTCACCATGGGTGAAACAATTAAATGATCCATGCAAAGTGAAAAGGGCCCCTACAGATGCTTGACTTTCTCATTTTTTCGACTTGTCTCTGAAAAGGCTATTTAGATTGGCATAGGATTTTATTTAAAACCCATCCTTTCATCACAGTAATGCCCAAGTTCTCTTCTTTATGTCACCCAAAACATCCGTGAAGTCTATATTCAATAGCGAATAAGAAAAAAGGAAGAGTTGTCAGGATTTACAAAAACAAAGGTAGACTTTGAAGTGAGGTCAAGTCCTGCACATTCTCCATGATGATCTAAAATCTAAATCATAACTTCTATAACAGCAGCTGAGTAGGCTGGGCTTTCTCAGTATTGAAACATTTATTATTTATCTCCTTTATAATCTATTCTTTTTAAAAAATGCACCTCATATTGTCATTTTTATTTTGTCATGATTAAATGCTGTTTATAGGATTGTGTTGCATTTAACTGCTTTTTAACACAATCCTCCTTGAACCCTGATATGGAAATATGGAGTTCATAGGTGAAATAAGGAAATAAAAATAATTCTCATCCCATGCGCAGCAGAAAAAAGGATAGCTCACTTCTTCTAACCATCATTTTCTTTGTAAGTTCTTGTAGTTTAAAAAGAAGCTTGTTTGTTTTTAATATCTGTTGCTTCATTAATCAGCCAAACAGAGGTTTCCCTGAACAAGCCCTGGACAAGAGCCTGTCTGAAAAACGGTTTTCTTTTTATCACACCTGCAGCTTTACAGAACTGGAGTCTCTTTGTTAAAGCTAAGCAGGAAGATGCTGTGCAAATATTCAGAGGCACTCCCATTTTGTTCAGAACAGATTGGTTCATATCAATGGATTTTGCTACTTCAAATTAGACAGTTTCTTTGACAGGAACAGGGGTAAAAAAAAGTCTCCTAAAGGTGGGGAAAGATTTCATCTCTCTCTTCCCCCAAGAGTTCTCCATCCACAAAAACGCCAAAGCTTCCAATTCCCCAATTGAAGATTTGCAGTAGAAACACTGCACCAAGCACGGAACTGGTGTATAATAAACAATTTATTTCCTTCTCCAAGACAGGCAGTTTTTCTGAGCTGGCCCAATCTGGCAACCCCAACAGGTGTTGCAGTGCAGCTCCCATCCGCCTCAGCCAAGAGAAGACTATATACAGTCTTATACTATATACTATATCGAGCCTGGATAGCTCTGCAGACAAGGCACTGTAATTTAACACCAGCTGTCTGCAATTAAAGTAAGTTCGAATCTTGCCAGGCTCAAGGTTGACTCAGCCTTCCATCCTTTCTAAGGTAGATAAAATGAGGACCCAGATTGTGGGGGCAATAAACTGACTTTGTATAAATATATACAAAAGTATGAAGGCTATTGCTTAACGCACTGTAAGCCGCCCTGAGTCTCCGGAGAAGGGCGGCATATAAATCAAATTTAAAAAAACAACAACAACAACAGAGAAGACTATTGCACCTCATCTCTGCCAGCAAGGATTTGAGAGTTATGATCCAACGTCCAAAGGTTTCCAGGGTTGGCTAGAGAGGAGAGGGAAATGCTGCCTCCACCAGAGGAAAACTAGCAGGGTTAGTGCCCTTTGAACACATGGGCGAGCGTTCCTCTCATGGGGTTTTTTTCCCCAACAAGTCCAATCTACCTCCACCTCTCTACTTCCTCTTCTCTTACCTCGGATGGCTCCCTGGCTTCTGAATCTTCAAAGCGTTGCCCCTAAACCGCTTCTCGCCCACCAGTTTATTCCCCCTTCCTTGTTCTACCTCCAGGGCGGAGAAAAGGACCACGTCCCACTTTGGTATCCAGTGAAAGGAAGGCTTGTCAGGGCGAAACCAACTGGGGCAAAAAAAAAAGGGGGGGAGAAAATTAGCAGAAAACCCATGAACTCGCACATGGAGGTCGGTCCCTCATCTAACTGGGATCGCTCGCGACTTTTTTCTTTAATCCTCGTGACATCTGACTGACTACTCGCCCCATGAGCCGCTCATTTTTGGAGAGAAAATTAATATTGGATTTGCTTCTCCCCCCCCCACCTCCCTTACCAGCCACTTCCTGGAATAGCAGATTGCGGAGTCCAGAAGAAGAAGAAGGCGTGGAGAAGCATTTCGCGGTCCCCGCGGGTCATTTAGAGGCGAGGCGCGTTTCTTCGAAGGCTTTCCAGTGGATGCCTTGCCTGAGTTTCCTAGAGAACGTGGGTTACGTGGGGAAGAAAAGCAAAAGACCGCCTTGTCTTCTCCGCCAGCAGCGATTGTTTGAAAAAGCCAAACGGTGCATTTCAGGGATGGGTTCTAATTTTTTTTACTACCGGTTCTGTGGGCGTGGCTTATTTTGTGGGCGTGGCTTGATGGTCCTGTGACAATTCTTTAGTGTTTAGCAGAGGTACTGGTCTACCAGGCTTTTAACTGCTTTCAGAGCTGTACCTGTCTACCCATTTGTTTTTGGAGGCACCGGTCTACTCATTTGTTTTTGTTTTTGGAGGCACCGGTCTACTCATTTGTTTTTGGAGGCACCGGTCTACTCATTTGTTTTTGGAGGCACCGGTCTACCACCACACTGCCTTTTAACACTGATCAGCTGTAGGGCAGCCCTTTGAAGCCCCAGGGCAAGAATTTAAACAGTTTTTTTCCTTCTAGCCGATCAGCTGGGACTCAGGAGGCAGCAATAGATTGGGGGCGGGGCCAAATAAAAGGTAAGAATAACGCACGGGGTGGGGGGGTGGCAGCTCCCGAACAAACAGAACTGGTTTGGTGATGTCATATCATCATTGCTATCAGCTCGGCCGAACCGGGAGGAACCCACCACTGGTGCATTAGCCCCAGTTGCAAAGTTTAGTCTTTCGTTCTCTCAGTAGGAGGAAGAATCTGGAGAAGAGATGTTGCAGACAACTGGATGGGCGAGATAATCTTGACCCTAATTACTTTCATACTTATTACTTGCTTTACAATTTTCATTCTGCACGGACTTCTCTCACGACTCCGAGTGAATCATTTAATAACACACAAACACACTCACACAACTTCCAACTCACCTTATATCCAATATATCCAAGGTGTATCTTCCAACCAATCGCCTTTTATCCAAGGTGTATCTCTTCTCCAAAAGAGGGTTGTTACAATGCCCGGACAATAGGAACTGTGATTCAACCCATACCAACTCCAGATCATTGCAGGCTGCTGTATTCCCACAACCTCACAAAACTAGAATGCAGTGATTTATACTGCAAGTGAATCTCTCATTTGTCTTTAAAAATAAAGACCACTACTTCGGCTACCTCTTCCTGAGCATGTTCGGGATAGGGGAATTATAGCTTTTACTTCAGAACTTGCAAACTTTAGGACTCTACAGTATCTCGTTAATTCTTCCTCTGAACATTTGGGCCCCTCTTAACCAAACAAACTGTTGAAAAATGTACATAATGAATAATGCAGGCTTGCTATATCTACCATTTCTATGTAATCACATTGCTGCACTTGCAAAGCTGGATATATTAGGAATCAGTAGCTGGATGCTTGGGGTCAGCATACCAGCTTTTCTTACAGTGTTTCCTCTTCTACACTTAGCTCTTTGGGACCCCACATTCTTGACCTTACTGAGTGTCTCAGTGCTGGTTTCCTCTTTCAGGTTTGCCCTTTACCCCACTTCTGACCGAGTCAGTTTACTTTTGCACCATCACTGACTGTGAACACTAATCCATTTCTTGTTACATCAGGTCCCGAAAAGCTGGCTGATGTTTTTACCCTCTAGTTCTTGTGCAAGAACAGGAGGGAAATTCTTACAAAAAGCCCTGAAAGTTTTGTCTGAACAATTACTTCAGTTTCTCGTCTAGAAGTAACTAGAGGGAGGGAGTTATTTTGCAGCTGATTGTGGATATGCCTGTGCCAGTCCAAAGTGCAGACTTGAATAGAAATGAATTGGCTAGGGCTTCTTTCTCCGCCCTTTCTTAGTTGATTGGTAGGGAACAAGACATCGGAGCCTGGACGGAGTACCTCCCTTTTCTGTGCATACCATTTTTCACTTTTGAGTTCAGACATCAAGAAAGCTTTCCTTAACATGGTGCAGCAAGCTTTATACAGAGGTTTGGTCTCCACCAAATGGCTAGCAGAAGCTGTCCGAACCAAAAAGGTTGGTCCTGATTTGAGGGTGCTGGATGCTTCCTGGTATGAACCTGGAACGAGAAATGCCCAGAAAGAATTCCAAGAACAGCACGTTCCTGGAGCCTCTTTTTTTGATATTGAAGAATGCAAAGACAAGTCATCACCTTATGAGCTTATGCTGCCCAGTGAGAAACATTTTGCCGATTACGTTGGCCACTTGGGCATTGGGAATGATACACATGTAGTTGTGTATGATGGAGACAACCTGGGCACCTTCTACGCACCACGTGCATGGTGGATGTTCCGGGTCTTTGGGCATCGTACTGTTTCAGTGCTGAATGGGGGATTTAAAAACTGGCTGAAGGAAGGTCACCCAGTAACATCAGAGATCACCCGGCCAGAGCCATCTGCCTTTAAAGCCAGTCTTAACAGGTCTCTCCTGAAGACCTATGAAGAGATGGTGGAGAACATGGAATCCAAGCGGTTTCAGGTAGTAGATGCCAGATCTGAAGGGCGATTCCGAGGAACAGAACCTGAACCAGGAAAGGAAGGTAGGAGTATATCCTGAGATAATTGGCCCACTTTCCATATTCTTTACCTGCTAATGATATTTAAGTCTTTACATCCCTCTTGCATACTTTAAGTTTACTTATTTGTGAGCAACCTCCACTAAACAGAGTGGAACACTTTCTAAATACACTTTCATAACAGTTTGATATTGTTGTGCCTAAGAAGAAATCCATAGGTCTCCAAAACTGGTACATGTAGATAAAGTAGAAAAATAGGGGTATCTAAGAATTCATCCATTGGGAGACTTTTTACTATTTTCCTGGCCTTTTCCTTTTTCTCATGTGGTAAGAAATATACCTACACATGCATACACAAACACACACACACACAGAGGATCCATTTATGTTTGGGATTCCATACCAGTAGGATCTGCTATCAACACTTGTGGGTGTTCCAATTTTCCAGACACACTGCCCCAGAAACTGAGGACCCTGTTCAAAATAGATCTCCAGTAACTTGGTATGTCTGTTTCTCTTTCCAAAATGCTTTTTTTAAGAGTAAATGGAGTCTGTTTGATTAGTCTTTGCCTAAAAATCAATCCTCCCAACAATTACACAAAACATCCAAAACATTTTTCATTTTATTATATGGTCTTGCCCATCCCAATAATGTATAAGAGAATGTTGAGCTAAAAACTTTGAGCCCCTGGACAAAGGGCAGGAGTCACAGCCATGGAAATTGTTGAAAGATATGTACACGTGCATCTGTCAGAGAAGAATTATATCCTTCTGGAGCAAAACCCTGATTGATCAACTCCAAGTTAATGATTTTCCAGGTCACCACGCCCAACGAGTCTAGGATCTGTCAGCATAAAAATCTCACCGATTGATTGCTTTTTCATCTGTTGGACTGTTTTTCCAATAAGTATTTTTCTGTAAAGAAATGGGGAGGAGTGCAAATTGTACTATATCTTAATAGCTTCTGTGCCTTATTTCAGTATTATTGCTCTGTTTTCCTTGTTTCAGTATTTAGGATCAAGGGACTCATAAGTATTTTAAGTAAAAACTATATATGGAAAATGGGCGGCTAGATCCCTAAATGGAGACATTAAGAGGGTTCAGACAAAGAGAGTTTGGGAAGGATACACCAAATATCAGAAGACTGTGATATAGACACAAGATAATTTTGCAAATATTACACAGTTAGACCAATCCCCATAATGTAAGCTAGATCCAAAGTTTCTTTGGAAAGTAACTGGCCTCTAAGTCACGGAGTCAGACTCATTATGGAATGGTTGAGCTGAAGCAAACCTGATGTCTAATATGACAACCTTCACAATATTGTTTCTAGTTTGAGATTTTCCCAGGGAACCTCTGTCTGGCAGCACTGGTTTCTAGAGCAAGACAAGTGCTGACACACACAAGTGGCGGACACTGAACCTTCAGGAATGTATTAGCTTAAAACTGGCAGAAAGGAATTTCACCTCATTCTATAAAATAGCTCTGAGAGGATTGTGTATTCACCTACCTGATAGGAGTGCAACAAGATATTGTTGTTAGGCAGGAATTGCCCTTGAGAGTTCTGGTGAAGTAGCTAAGAATCCAATAAGCTTTGCATAGCACTTATCTGAGTGAACTAGTTTGTTGTATTCATGAAAGATCCAACAGAAAGTACACAATAGCAGAAGGAAGTTTTAAAACTGTTTGTAGAAACTTTTCCAAGAAGTCAGCTTAGAAGAGCCTTAGCTAACTATTCCATTGCATAATCTTTTTTATTTCCTGCATCTCAATAAAAAGTGTTATTTTCCCTTATGTCCATTCTTACAATGAATGTAGAGAAGGTGTAAGATGCCCACATTTGTAAATTGAAAATAATACTTTCTTTCCATTAAAATAGAGAGATTTGCCTAAAAGTATGTGCGCAAATACCTCTCACTACAGGTAGTCCTCAGGTTACAACAGTTCGTTTAGTGACCATCCGAAGTTACAACAGCACTGTAAAAAATGATTTATCACCATTTTTCACACTTATGACTGTTGCAACATCCCCATGGCCGTATGATAAAAATTCAGATGCTTGGCAACTGACTCGTATTTATGATGGTCCCAGGGTCATGTGATCTTTTGTGACCTTCTAACAGGCAACAATGGGGAAGCCAGACTCACTTAACAACCATATTACTAACATGTATAGTGATTCACTAACACCTGTGTCAAGAAAGGTCTTGAAACGGGGCTAAAATCATTTCATAAATGTCTTGCTTAGCAACCGAAATGTTGGGCTCAATTATGGTCGTAAATCAAGAATTACCAGTATTTCCAAACTGAAATTCTTCTTTCATCAAATTAGTTCTCTGATGGGATTTCAAGATTTTATGGGAAACAAAGAAACATAATAATCACCCATTATTTGATGTGAGTTATCAGATGATGATACGTAGAAAAAAACACTATGGTTTAGTTTAATCACTGGTGTGGTGACACAATATAACACATTTTCATCAGGTCCCTGACTACAGCTGCCATCTCTCACATATACAATGGCTAGGTAGAATAAAGAGGAGTCAGCATTTTTTATTATTATTATTCTGTTTGGGCACTGCCCAATCCAAATATCTGGGCAGTTCATAATATAGCAAAGAAAAAGATAAAAACACAAGTCGAAACAAGACAGGATCCAGTCACTCAGTATAAAACATACAGAAAGCCATCCAACAAAGGGCAATGAATTAAGGTGGTTATTCTTTAAATAATGGTTTGCTTATTTGCTTCAAAAAGCAACGGTATATAACATTTATAAAATGTTTTAAAGGGAGAAGCTAAAATAAAAAAATATTTTCAATTGAATATTTTTAGCACTGTGATCCTGAAATGGTATCTAAGAAAAATAATGAGTCTTGAGCCAGTTCCTATGGGGCACAGAAAGACAAATTCAGAATCTAATGAGATGAAAATGTCCATCTGGAATGGCAGGAGATCAATTGAGATGTGTATTGTGTTTCCACAAGAAATGTATGCATATTTATCATTTAGCTCAACCGGTGGTGAAATCCAATTTTTTTTACTTTCAGTTCTGTGGGCGTGGCTTGGTGGGCATGGTATGGCTTCGTGGGCGTGGCTTGGTGGGTGTAGCAGGGGAAGGATAGTGCAAAATCTCCATTCCCTCCCCACTCCTGGGGGAAGGATAGTGCAAAATCTCCATTCCCACCCCAATCTGGGGCCAGCCAGAGGTTTTATTTGCCGGTTCTCCGAACTACTCAAAATTTTCACTGCCGGTTCTCCGAACTGCTCAAAATTTCCGCTACCAGTTCTCCAGAACCTGTCAGAATCTGCTGGATTTCACCCCTGAGCTCAACCCTTTTCACTCTGGGGAGAAAGGTGTTTGTGTACTTAAGAGCCACATGCATTTCTGTTTTTTGTGGGGTCACACTAGGATGCACTCATAGAGCAAGGTTGCTACAGTGCCATGTTGTGATAGCAGAAGCAAAACTTCATCTGCAAAGGTGACCACCTATGCTTGGTTGCAGCCAGCTGGCTTAGTTAAGTTTGGTGGCAAGTAACAGTATTTCTCAAATATGCTCAGTAATTTTTAAAATCCCACTGAAGTTGTCTTTCTTTTAATGTTTTAAATTAAATTTTTATTGAACATTTCTCACACAAATAAAAGATAAGCATGAATAATATAAAGAGTGAAGAAAAGAAAAAAAGAAAATGTGAAATAATGAGAGTAATGTAGTAAGGAGTATAAAGAGATCTACAAATAGGAAAAAAGGAAAGATATATAAAGAAATGATTTTCAGTCTTCCTTATAGCAGTTACAATCTTTTCCTCATTCTTGCCTCATTAAAATAGCATCCTAATTTGCTTCTTCCCATATTTGAACCATTTCAATCTGCAAATCCATAAATCAGGAGTTTATTTTTTTCCATTTTTAGCAAAAAGTCCAAAAGAAATTGCAGGTTCTTGGATCAAAGCATTTGTCGCATTATCCGCTGATCAGATAAGTCAATTTTGCCATTTCTGCCAATTCAATAATCTTTTCATGCCACTTCTCATTGTGGGAATTTCAGAAATATCCATCTTTGTATATATAATAATCTCGCTGGAATTACCATATTAAAAAAAAAATCAATATTCCATGAGTCTCTTCTAATTGGCTATCCATAAGTTCCAATTAAACAAGGTTCTGGTTTCCGCAATTGTCTTCCTTTTCCAATAAAAGAATTTGTCTTCTTTCCACATTCTAATAGTACTGCTACACCAGGGATTAAACAAAATGGTCAGGTAGACAATGAGCTTGCAGCTCATCATTTATTGGGAAGCACTTCAAACATGCTGTAAGTCAAAATTTGAATGACCAAAGTCTTATCACATGTATATCATAGGTCATAATATTTGGTTAAAAACAACAAAACATTCAAGATATCAGTTCCTTCAACAATTCATTTTCTTTATGCCAACCCAACAACGCAATTTGTGACAATCAGATAATGATTTCAGAGACAGTTCAGCAAGGTTTATTTATTTATTTATTTATTTTATTAGATTTCTATACCGCCCTACTCCCGAAGGACTCAGGGCGGTGCACAGCCAAACAATAAAAACACATACAATACAAAATTTAAAAAATAGAATAAAATCAAATTAAATAATTTTGGCCCCGACAAATTTAAAACCCCAAACTTTTAAAACCAATTTAAAATTGAATATATAAAATACTAAAAGATATTTAAAATTTTAAAAATCTTTTATAAAAGAGGGGGGAAAATTAGGCCAGGCCGGCCTGGTGAAATAGTAAGGTCTTTAAGGCGCGGCGGAAGGTGCGCAGATCCGGGATCCTCCGTATCTCTGGGGGGAGCTCGTTCCAGATAGTAGGTGCCCCCACAGAGAAGGCTCTCCCCCTGGGGGCTGCCAGTCGGCATTGTTTGGCTGACGACACCCGGAGGAGCCCCTCTCTATGGGAGCGTACCGGCCGGTGGGAGGCTATTGGTGGTAGTAGACGGTCCCGCAAGTACCCGGGTCCTAAGCCATGGAGCGCTTTAAAGGTGGTAACCAGAACCTTGAAGTGCACCCGGAAGACCACCGGGAGCCAGTGCAGCTCACGCAGGAGGGGTGTTACATGGGAACGCCATGTCGCTCCCATTACCACCCACGCGGCCGCACTCTGCGCCAGTTGGAGCCTCCGGGTGCTCCTCAAGGGGAGCCCCATGTAGAGAGCGTTGCAATAGTCCAGGCGGGAGGTGACAAGGGCATGAGTGACCGTGCGTAACGAGTCCCGATCCAGAAAGGGATGCAACTGGCAAATCAGGCGAACCTGATGAAAAATCCTCCCGGTCACGGCCGTCAAGTGCTCTTCTAAAGACAGCCGTGAATCCAGGAGGACGCCCAAATTGCGAGCCCTCTCTGTGGGGGCCAATGATTTGCCCCCAATAGTCAGTGATGGCTGTTGAATCTGATTACATGCCATCAATTTGGGGTTGACTCTTAGTGACCCTAGAAATATATCTCCAGATGTCATGTCCACAACCTAATCTTTATGTCTTCCAATGGCATACTCTTACTGTTATAATCAGATCTATCTGCTATGTTGCTGGTTGCTCACTTGTGTTTACTTCTACTTTTCCCATCATTTTGGTTTCTCAAAGGAGCCAGCTCTTTTATATAATATGCTTGCATAATTTCCTTGAGGGAGATGGATGGTCTAGAAACAATGAATATAAATAAATAAATAGATAAGTTCAAAATATGGTAATTTGAGCCTGATCATTTGTACTTTAGGTAAGAACTCTGGATTAATTTGTTATATGATCCATTTATTTTTTTCCTGGTTATCCATGATGTTCTCAAGAAACTGCCCCTACACTTGTTTCTTCAGAGTCCAATGTTTGTTTCCATAGAATATCAAAGAGAAAAGCCACTGCCTATACAATTATGATTTTTATAGGTATAGGCACGTCACAGCATCTGAATAATTTTTTTCCTAAACCCTTCATTGCTATCATAAAATGCTAGATTGTGACATACCCTGTTTCCCCGAAAGTAAGACATCCCCTAATAATAACGACAGCTCCCACAATTCCTGGAGGAAACGTCCTATCTAGATCTGTTCCAGTCGGGTTTCAGGCCTGGGCACAGCACGGAAACAGCATTGGTCGCGTTGGTTGATGATCTCTGGAGGGCTTGGGACAGGGGTTGCTCCTCTGTTCTGGTCCTATTAGATCTCTCAGCAGCTTTTGATACATTGACCATGGTATCATGCTGCACCGGTTGGAAGAGTTGGGGATGGGAGGCACCGTGTTACAGTGGTTCTCCTCCTTTCTCTTTGACTGGTTGCAGTTTGTGTTGACAGGGGGGCAGAGGTCGACCTCGAGGCCTCTCATCTGTGAAGTGCCGCAAGGGTCGATCCTCTCGCCCCTTCTGTTCAACATTTATGTGAAGCCGCTGGGCAAGATCATCCGTGGCTTTGGGGTGAGATACCACCAGTACGCTGATGACACCCAGCTGTACATCTCCACCCCAGGCCACCCCAGCGATGCCCTTGAAGTGATGGCCCAGTGCCTGGAGGCTGTAGGATCTGGATGGGGAGGAACGGGCTCAAGCTCAACCCTTCCAAGACCGAGTGGCTGTCGTTCCCGGCATCCCGATATAGTCAGCTGACTCCATCGCTGACTATCGGGGGCGAGTCTTTGGTCCCCGTGGAGAGGGCACGCAATCTGGGTGTCCTCCTGGATATGCAGCTGTCCTTGGAGGAACATCTGACGGCTGTTGCCAGGGGGACCTTTTGTCAGGTTCGCCTGATTCGCCAGTTGCGCCCCTTTCTTGATCGGGATTCCATGTGCACAGTCACTCATGCCCTTGTCACCTCTCGCCTGGATTACTGCAACGCTCTCTACATGGGGCTCCCCTTGAGGAGCACCCGGAGGCTCCAACTGGTCCAGAATGCGGCCGCGGGGGTAATTATGGGAGCTGCATGGCGCTCCCGCATAACACCACTCCTGCGTGAGCTGCACTGGCTCCCAGTGGTCTTCCGGGTGCGCTTCAAGGTGTTGGTTACCACCTTTAAAGCGCTCCATGGCATAGAACCTAGTTATCTTCGAGACCGCCTTCTGCCACCGACAACCTCCCATCGACCCGTGCGCTCCCACAGAGAGGGCCTCCTCTGGGTGCCATCAGCCAAGCAATGCAGGCTGGTGACCCCCAGGGGGAGTGCCTTCTCTGTGGGGGCTCCCACCCTCTGGAATCAGCTGCCCCCAGAGATAAGGAGAATCCAAGACCTCCGTGCCTTCCGCCGTGCCCTTAAAACTTTCCTTTTCCAACAAACCGGGCTGCCCTAACAAATCCTTTTAAATGATTTTAAATTCGTTTGTCTTTTTAAATTTTGGGCCAAATTGAGATATTTCCTTTTAATCTGTTCTTAATTTATGTATTATTATGTATTATTATGTATTATGTATGTATTTTTACTTGGCTGTACACCGCCCTGAGTCCCTAGGGAGAAGGGTGGTATATAAATTTGAAGTAAAATAAAAATAAAAATAAAAAAATAAGCCCAGTCGGGCTTTTGAGTGCATGCGCTAAAATGAACCTCCCCCGCCCCCGAAAATAAGCCCTCCCCAAAAATATTTAAATGCAGAGCTGGAAATCAGGTAAGATGGCAAGAGGAGCCCCATCTTGCTCCACGCGCGCCAAAATAATAAGACCTCCCCAAAAATAAGGCCAAGCACTTATTTTGGAGTTCAAAAAATATAAAACAGGGTCTTATTTTCGGGAAAACACGGTATTTATTCATTGCATATTTCTTTGCTGTTTAAAAAGCTATCAGTTTCATCCTAGTGACTTCGGGCACTAAGAGTCAACCCCAAGTTGATGGTATGTAATCAGATTCAACCTTGCTGAACTGTCTCTGAAATCATTATCTGATTGTCACAAATTGCGTTGTTGGGTTGGCATAAAGAAAATGAATTGCTGAAGGAACTGATACCTTGAATGTTTTGTTGTTTTTAACCAAATATTATGACCTATGATATACATGTGATAAGACTTTGGCCATTTAATTTTGACTTATAGCATGTTTGAAGTGCTTCCCAATAAATGATGATCTGCAAACTCATTGTCTACCTGACCATTTTGTTTAATCCCTGGTATAGCAGTACTATTAGAATGTGGAAAGAAGACAAATTCTTTTATTGGAAAAGGAAGACAATTGCGGAAACCAGAACCTTGTTTAATTGAAACTTATGGATAGCCAATTAGAAGAGACTCATGGAATATTGATTTTTTTAATATGATAATTCCAGCGAGATTATTGCTGTATTGAATCCTCCCCTATCCTATCCTCTTCTCTCTCTCACGCTTTCTAGCCCCTTCTCTCCCTCAGGCTTGCCCCACAGAAGCCTCTCCTATGCTATCCTGTTCTCTCCAGAGTTATTTTCAAGTTGGGAGGGGGAGTAGAACGTCTAATGAATTAACATCAGAACGTGTTATAATAATATAGGAAATACTAATGCTCTGATGGTCATTTCGAAAAATCCTTTCTTAGTGAGCACCCAGAAACCAAGTGGAACATACTTGGCAAATTTCAAGTTTGTAGGCTTTACAGTTCTGGAGATTTCGTGATTAATGTGTGAGTGGTTTTCACTTTTATATATATATATAGAGAGAGAGAGAGAGAGAGAGAGAGAGAGATTGTAATCGGGATATTGCATTTCATTTCATTTTTAAACAGAAGACTGAGCTGGTGGTTTGTTTTTTTTAACTTTTGTGGATTTTTTTATATATTGGATATATATATATTTAAAGGCAGTTCTCAGCCATCTTTTCCAAAAATCTGCAGTTATTTTGATCTATATTTAAATGCAGTAAATTCTGGAGTTGTGATTTATTAGAAACAGATGTTTGTAAAGCTGTTTGATTTTACATTTAACAGTCACCCATATAACCAACATTATCTCTTACCTTTTATTCAACCTATTTGTATTAGAAATAATTGATAATTTCAAATTATTTGACCACAATCCCAGTTCTACCATTTGTACCCCAATTATGTACTACCATTTATATGCCATACCATTACTTAGGATTAGAACTTCTTATAATACTATTTTATTTGCATTTATTTTAGTAATCATGTTTTTAATTATTTTAGACTCTATTATACTTATTGTATTTCTCATATGCGTATATACATATATGTAGAAGGGTATAATACTTCTTTTATTCAATATTTTGTTTGCATCTGGCCTTAGGGCTATAATAAAATTGAATTGAATTTAACCATAATAGTTACGGGAAGTATTTTTTATGACTTTATGACTTTTTATGACTTTTTCTCTTATTCCAGGGATAGAACCAGGTCACATTCCAGGTACCATAAACATGCCTTTCTTCAACTTCTTGACTGAAGAAGGTTTTGAGAAACCTCAAGAAGAAATCCGGAGCATGTTCCAGGAGAAGAAAGTGGATCTTTCAAAGCCATTGATTGCCACATGCCGCAAGGGGATTACAGCCTGCCATATTGCCTTGGGAGCATATCTCTGTGGTAAACCAGATGTGGCCATCTATGATGGATCCTGGTCTGAGTGGTTTCGTCGTGCCCCACCTGAGTATAAAATGTCTGAATGGAATCGCCATAAGGCATAATAACTCAATTTTCTGTGGAGCATAGTTCCTAATGCTAAGCATAATGAAAAGATAGGAAAATAAATTCCTATTTTTTATAATTTTATCACTTTCTAATCCATGGTTGCTGCTTGCTTTTGCAAACTGGTAATTAAATAAAATTCAATCTTGGGTCAATTACCTTTTTTCAATTCTGTGTCCTTTTTTATTGTCCACAACTAGTAACAGAAGAGAAACTATCCAGCGTTATTATAAGTGTTAATATTTATATCATTTCCATTGTGTTCAGCATCCTGATGTTGCCCTTGAAATGTAATACATGCAGATTACAATCCCTAGTTATCTATTTAACAGCATAATAGTGGTCAATAATAGGAATTAGTCATATCTGGAAGTTGCCAAGTTGTAGAAAGCTAGCAAAAACTAAAGACTAACTTGAACCTTATGTTGACATAAGCAGAACAACTGTAAGAAGTTAGCACCCACCCCTCTCCTAGAAGAATGAAATATTTTAGGAAATATTAAAAAGGCAGAATATATTTCCCTGGATGAGAAATAGAGAAACATGTTTTAAAGACAAAGCAGCTCACACCTTCCTGCCTCCCCCCCCACACTTTGTAAACCCAATTCCCTCTCCCCTTTGTCAATGGACCATCATCTGCAACACAATAGGACCCATCTAGCAACAGAACCTCACCACATGGCACCTGGGAAGATTACATCAGCTAGCTATGACCCCCACCCCCTGGGAGTCTGACAACCAATCAGGATACTCTTCCTGTGCCCCAGGAAATTCAAAGCCCAGAGCGGGCATAAAACCCGGGGAGTCGCAGCATTTCTGCCCTTTTCTGTTCAGGAACTCAAACCATGTGATCCTGTCCACCATTAAACCATCTTTCCAAGCAGTCTCCATGTTTCCAGTGTTTTTCCCCACTTGGAGCTGAACCCAGAAGGATATTTCTTCTAACACAACAATGTTATGTTTTAATAGTTTTAGAAACTGCATATAAAACTCAATCAAGACCATTAACTCACTGAAACAAATCATTTTAATGGGCTGAAGTATTAGGGAAAGGACCAGCAGATTTCATGAAATTGGATTCCAATTCCAAGTAACCTTGGTACTGTTTCAAAGAAGGCTGTTTCCTGTGAATTCACACACTGAATTTACAACAATGGTAAGGTGCAAAGAATCCTCTTCTGAGAAACACATTCAGGCAGAAGGCTATGATGCTTGATGTATTTTAGGCTCTGTCATTTAGGCTTTAAAGATATATCCAGGAGTTTTGAGGCAGACATTTTCAAAGTTGCTTTGCATGTTATAGGTTAAGGTAGCTTGTCCGTGCACTCTGGCACAGAAGTTATTATTTTAGAAATAATTGTGCCTTAACTACTTAATGATTATGATGAGGCCAGGCTCCAGGTATGTACCTTATTACAATGTAAGCAGTTACATTCAGTCTTCAAATGTACAAAACCGAGGAAAACCAGTTCACTGATGATTCTACCATGTGTACATACAATGCAAGAAATCTGTATCAAGCTATCAAATGTTATAATGTGAATCTTCATATTTGTAAATCAAAGCCACCGTTATTCCCATATATTCATCATTCCTTTAGTTTTCAATATTTGGGAATGACTTCTTTGCCACCAAAATAGCACTTTTCACATTCCTGATGAAACAACAAGAGTTTTGAAAGTACATCAGTGGTGGGTTGCCCCCGATTCACACTGGTTCTATAGAACCGGTAGTAAAACCGGCAGGAGGCTTCACCCACCGACCCCGATGTCATCAGAATGCTTCTGCGCGCCCGCACGTGAAGCGAGCACGCGTGGCCCCATTGCGAACTGGTAGTAAAGGTAAGTAGAACCCACCCCTGAAGTACATATACTAAAGTACATATACTAGGAAAAGTGTGTGCAAATGGAGCGCCCTAGAAGAAGACCTGCAGGACTGGCTACTGAAATGCTAGTTAGTTAGCTGTGCTTGTATATAATCCTTTATAGGCCCTGTCTCCACTTCAGTTTGCTATGGAATTATTATATTTGACAATCCCAATTTTCTTCTTGGTTTACATGACATCCTCACTGGGCCTATGGTCCATGAGTGTGATAACATAGCCAGCATTAGGTACATCAATTTTAAAATAGTTTTCCCTTTTCCTGTCCCACCAGGAAAATTTGAGTTGTATAAAATCCAAATACATTGTCACTCATCTTGGAAGTGAGATTAAGAGATATCTTTGTTTCTCACCATGTATCCAATTTTCACTTCCCTGTAACAAAATCAACAAATGCATATTCTTATCTGCATCCATTTGGGCTTCCTTAGACATTAATCCCTTGTAACAAACCACATACCATATCTCTCTTTCAACCAGCATTTACATCCATTACCCCATATATAATAGATTTTTTGCCAAGATGCACAAATTCATCTCCCTCCAATTTTTCATCATTTACACTGTATATATATATATATGTATGTATGTATGTATGTATGTATGTATGTATGTATGTATGTATGTATGTGTATATACTGTGTTTCCCTGAAAATAAGACCCTGTCTTATATTTTTTTAACCCCGAAATAAGCACTTGGCCTTATTTTTGGGAAGGTCTTATTATTTTGGGGTGTGTGGAGCAAGACGGGGCTCCTCTTGCCATCTTACCTGATTTCCAGCTCTGTGTTTAAATATTTTCGGGGTGGGCTTATTTTTGGGGGGAGGCTTATTTTAGTGCATGCGCTCAAAAGCCCGATTGGGCTTATTATCAGGGGATGCCTTATTTTCAGGGAAACAGCACCTGGTCTACCCCAATATGGGAGGGAGCATACTGCTTCCCTTTCACCTTTCAGCTCCAATCCAGGAGCCCTCAAGTAGTCACATTCACAACAAACCATTTTATACCAAATTTATATTTGCTGATAAAGAAATTGCACACATACACACACACACACACACATATATATATATCAGATAGCTGCTCACTTTTTCATCCTATTCAACCATATCTCAGTAACCTGCTGAAGATCAAAAATGGAGATATGCCCCCTGCCTTGCATAAAGTTGTACTACATGTACCAATTTTGCTCACTGTCACTTGGTTATTTTTTTTTAAATGTATTAATATGCCTTCCATTCTTATACTTACAATAGAACGTTAAAGCAGAGAATAATTACAAATAAGATTAAAAACAAGAAAAATATAGTATAATTGAGGTCAAACCACAATCATTCATGGTCCCAAATCATTGCAAGAGAGGCTTAGGAAACATCCGGGTCCAATGCACAGGGAAAGAACCAAGTTTGGTAGGTCTTTGGTAGAATTGGGATTATCTGAATCTTGGGAGTATGCTGTTCCAAATATCATAATATAGTAGGCTTGCCCTTTGTCCCACCAACTGGTAGTTTCGTAGAAAGGATCCAAAACATCCTATTGGATCTCATGTAATCAGAAAAAAATCAGAAATAGATTGTTTTGCAAATAAGCCAGCCCTGTGCCATGAAGGGCTCTATAGATGGCAGTCAGCACCATGAATAAAGAAAAAAAGCTCTTTGTGAAAAATCCTTTCAAAATTGTTGCCATAGCCAATCTCAGTCTTTTTAGGACAGTAAACTATACCAGGAGATAAAAAGAAACATGCTAGAAAAAACTCAGAAAGCCACTTTTAGATTGCTGTCAATAATTATGTCTGTGTAGTCATTGAGTTAAGTTCTCCTCAAAACTATGCAAGTGAAATGTTCCCTGTCTGAGAAATATATTGGTATAAAATTTAATATTCAAAACACTATTTTTTGAAAATGACCATTCTTATATTATGACAGTAAATGGAAAACCAAAGCTCCAACCCTTTTGATAGGCAAACTTCACTACTGAACATCACTCTAAGAAGAGTACTCTGTTTACTTGAGTCCCCATAGCAACTCTAGCTCACAGATGGGAATGTGTTTCTTAGCAACCATCCTTGGTAATTACACATAGTTCCACTTCTTTGTCTCCCTGGACTTGGCAAGGACCTGCTTGATTCATGAGAACTCCACTGGCACCTCAGTTGAGACCATGGCAGCAGAGGTGAGATACATGTTTGTGAGAAGGTCTTAACTTTGTGCATCTTAGAGAAAAAGTAACCCTTCCCAGCCAGGCAGTTACACACAAAGGTGTTGATGCCCTATGACCTACACAAAGACACTTGGTTTTTAGGCCCAGGTCACAACAGTAAGCCTTGCTGTGCTCTTGCTGCCAGTCCAGGCCACATGTGGCAGGCATGTGGGGCTCTCTTTGGCCACCTCTGGCAACTGCTTTGGAGCCACATTTGGTTGGCAACTCTGGGACATGCCTGGCATGTATATAGCTCATTTATCATCATAATTGTGCTTTTCCCAGCCAGAGGTTTTGTAAACCTGGCCAGGCATCTGTATGAGCCTAAAAAGACCAGTGGCTTGTTTCAGGGTCAGAAGGGGCTTGTGGAAATTAGTCCCTTACTTGAGTACCAGCAGACACCAGAGATGGCTAGCCCCTTCCTCCATTATGGACATGACCCTGAGGAGATTAGCCCTGTGCTCCGATACCTACAACATCCTGAAGAATTTACTGTCTTGTATCAACAACCACCAAAGTCTGAGGCAGAGATTGATACTGCAATCCAGCAGTCAGAGGAAATCAGTCCTGTGCTCCAGTATCTACAACAGCTGGAGGAAATTGGCAGCAACCTGCTTCAACGGGACAGCTGCCACATATCTTCCTGCCCAAGAATTGTCAACAAACTGGAGACTCAGGTGAAATACATGGGGACTGGCCAAGTCTATCTTTGCAACTTTTTCAGGTCTTCAGGGGGAAGCAAACAAAATATTGTACATATAGTGCTGATTTGGAGGCAAGAAATAAGGAAAGGTATATTCAGCAAAGATCCATGAGTTAAATCTTAAAAGGCCTTAGTTTTATCTTGCCAATATATCTAAGCAAGTGCAATTGAAATTCACCAATTTCAGCACTGAAATAATGAAAGATAATTTTGTTGGTTCTGAAAATCCTTCTCAACATTGTGTATGATGCAATTCTTCACCTCATGTTTAATATGTTACATTAGTTCAGTAAACATTGTCTAAAGCAGAGGTGTCGATCTCAAGGCCTGAGGGCCGGATCTGGCCCATGGGATGCTTAGATCTAGTCCGCGGGGTTGCTCTGGAAACAGTGAAGGACTGGCCCGCGGTGCTTCTGCCAGCGAAAACAGAGCTTGGGAGGGCCGCTTGCTCCATTTTCGCTGGCAGAGGGTTGCAGGAGGCCATCACAGCCAAAAATGGCAGCCTTCCTGAGCTCTATTTTTGCTGGCAGAGGGTTACAGGAGGCTGTCGGGAGCCTGTTTTCTCTGGCAGAGTGCTTGGGCCACCACAGGCGCCCCCAACACGAGTGACATTGAGCTGACCACCCTGGCCACACCCACTCCGGCCCCACAAGGTCAAACATAATCCTGATGTGGCCCTCAATGAAATCGAGTTTGATACCCCTCGTCTAAAGTAAATATACAGTGTGTATGTGTGTGTATATATACATATACACACATTAATACGTATATTAAGTGAAGTTCAAGGGTAATATTCATGTCTGTATTATAAAATGGTCAGGATGTTGAGTTTAGTTAATTTGCCAATATTATTGTCATAATTATGAAGGTAATAACTAGGCTAGGAATTGTGGTAAGTCATTTCCTGTGTAGCCAACTAAAGTGCCTTCCTTTTTTTAAATTTTTTGAATTTATATGCCACTTCAATCACCAATATAATTATAGAAATCATACATATTAGATTTGGAATTGTTGTATCTTTTGATCTTATTAAATCTTGCTTGCCTGATCTTCTTAACTTTATAATTTCTCACTTATATCCCTCTGTAAATGAAACTCTAAATATTTGGCAGATCTATCCTTTGTAATGTGGTTAAGATTTTTTAAATCTATTCTGTTTTCTCACCATTCTACTTCTGTTTCTATTCCTGAATTAAAATCCTTCCTTTCTGAGTAGATTTTTATCAAGCAGTTATACCACTTTATTCTTAGATGCTCCAGATGAAAATATCCTCTATTCTCTTTTCATATTTTGTTTTAAATCTGAATTCATTTTGTATCATGCTTAGATTATTTTTGCTATTTAGTGTAAATGGGAACTTGATTAACTTTATACAGTGCCTGGCCCTAGAACATAAAATACAATTTTATGTAGTATACAACACTTATCCTTTCTGGGAACGACAAATTGATTTGGGTGTGATGGATATAACTTTGTAGAAATAAAAAGTTAAATCTTACTCATATTTTCAAAAATCTTATAACAAGCTCAAGTTCTATATACATATCATTTTGAAAAAGAGGTTTATGGAAAAGCTTTTTAGTCAATAGCCGAACAACTTCAGATTTCTGTCACTCCTATTATGTTATGTGCTAGCAGATACTTTGCAAGACGTTTACGTCTTCCTCACTCATTATTCCTCTGACTTCCTAATAATACTCCTAGTCTTTTTCAGGACAATTGGCTTATTTCTACTTCCAAATCCCAACCAACAGAACTAGTTAGCATTTTTTCCACAATCTTGCTTGAATCTTCATGAATGTATGAAGAAGTGCTTAGCATCACTAGTCCCTAATAATAACTTGCAGCTCTTACAGGACATTCCTGTAATTATTTGATCTTATATTCTTATTCATTCTCTTCTACTTCCAGTTCCATCAAATTTGATAAACTTCATTGTTTTTTCTAGTCCATTATCTGCTTATAGGATGATTTCTGCTTACTGATTATGACATCAGAGAGAACAATGTTTATTTGGTCCAGGATTGATTGATTAGTTTTCTGTTACTGCCTGTCTACAAATCCATAATTGGAAGACATCTATTTTCTTTAACTATTGGAGAAGGAACAAATAAATACCGTAGGCTTGATGTATTTGGGAAGAACTGGTTAGGCTGAAGAATAAGGGTGGCTACTTTTGAAACCATAATCAATGGTTATAGGAGAGGAAAGGTCAACCATTGGCCTCTTACCTGTGAAATTTGCAAAATTCGCCCACCAAGTCATGCCCACAGAACTGGTAGTAAAGAATTTTGAATCCCACCACTGTATTATACCTCTTTTAATGTTCGGCCCTTCTTAGCCTCCCCTGAAAAATAATAAGTTGAAAAAATTGGCAATGGTCATATGAGCAGCAGCATAATAGGAGTAATTTCCTCCTTTGTCCCCAGACTCTTGGCATAACGGTTTGGGAAAAGTAGTCAACTTCAGAAAGCTTGTCAGACTTACTTTATGACAATGTTTTTTCCAGTTCAGCATCAGTAAGCATAGCGGTTATGGGATGTATTTTCAAGACCTGCCCTTCTATTCTGTGTTTACCTGGGACTTAAAAGGAGATTCAATGCTAAAGTGGGTTTTTTTTTCTTTTTATTTAATCCAAAATACAATGCATTCAGTGTATTTAGTACATAGTACTACTTTTAAAAGTATAATAAAATACTGCATAATTTAATGCAATACATATAATTATAAAACACAATAGTTGCATCCAATAAAAGCTGATGTTCAAATGTCTATAGAAAAATCAGGTAATATGTTCAGAGGGAATTGCAGATTTAATTGATTCTAAATATTAAAACAATGGTTTTACTATTTGGGCTTAAACAAGGCATACAAATTCTCAGATCCTTATTTGTGCTGGAATTTACAAGTATTTCACATGTAAATAATCCATACTTTATTTCTTTTGGGGGGGCGTAACAGGTGCCCATGGACACAGCCTTCCCAATGCCTGCCAACACATATCATGTAAACAAAGTGACCTATCGTCCAGCAGGTAGGAAATATATAATTGATGGGAAGTTTCTATTTTCTCTACTGTTTAGTGAAGACTGATTTAATTCCTAGATTCTATGAGCTGTTTGCTAACGTCTGATCAATCTTTTGTGAAACTATAAGGAAAAGCAAAATACGTAACCATTGTCCCAACCACTACCTCCAGACATGCTAGATTGTCATTTTCAGAATTTCTTCCCTAGCCAGGCGGGAATTCTGAAAGTTATGTTCCCATAAATCTGGAGGATGTCTGAATTCAAATTATTAGTTCAAACCTAGCAATCCATAATTTCACCAAGACTAGATGGTGATGTGTAGAGAGACTCAACTCCAATTTAAACTGTGACATTTTTATAAGCTTTAGGCTTGATCTTGCACCTTATAACTTGATATTACAGTACAAGTGTGTATTTGCTGTGCACTGCTATCTACTGATAAGGCCATCCATGTGAAGATACCAATCACCATCTTGCAGGCTTGGAGTTTTTTTCTTTCATCTATGGTGCTACAACCTCCATAAATGTTAGTGTAGTAGAATCTGGAATGCACATTCAATGTCTGATAAATCTTCTTTTCATTAAAGAACAGGGGAAATGGCTATGGGAGCTGAGGATCTGGTCAACTTCACTGCCAAAGAGATCCATAGGGTGCAGAAGAAATAGTCCCAGAAGAAATTAGGAGAAGCAATTGAAACCTTAATGTTCATCAATGTGGAACATTTCATTTTAGATGAACTCAAGTGCTAATATGAAAGGGGAAGAAACTCGGTTGACTTTTTCAAAATCATGCATGATTTTACTATTCCTCCATCATTTCTTGCCTTGTCCACATTTTTTTCAAGCTAAGAAGTCTAAATACTTTACTTTTTTTTCACTCCATCATTTCAGTCAATTGTTCAGTTTTGTTTTAGGTTTGTGTGTGTGTATACCTTTCAAAGTTGTATAATATATTTATCAATAAATGTTAATCTTAACATTAGCAGTTCAGTGGTTCGAATCCCTAGTGTCGCGTAATGGGGTGAGCTCCCGTTACTTGTCCCAGCTTCTGCCAACCTAGCAGTTTGAAAGCATCTAAAAAAAATGCAAGTAGAAAAATAGGTGGGAAGGTAACAGCGTTCTGTGCGCCTTTGGCATTTAGTCATGCCAGCCACATGACCACGGAGACGTCTTCGGACAGCGCTGGCTCTTCAGCTTTGAAACGGAGATGAGCATCGCCCGCTAGAGTCGGGAACAACTAGCACATATGTGTGAGGGGAACCTTTACCTAATATTTTATTCTCTGTATTCCAGAAAATCCTGGCTATAAAAACAAGGAGCAGGTCACATACAACAAAGCTGGGGTGCCATCCAGCAAAGCACTTCCCTCAAGGACCTCCAGTGCAAGCTCTTGGGACAGCTCCAAGAATCTAGAAGGAGATAAAACAAGAGACGAATTCCTCTGCCGGACACCTCCTTCCACACAGCACTTTCCAGCAAAAAGCCACAATAAACAGAACCACAATTCCAAAGCTCCTGCTGTCCAATATATTCACCACGAATCACCTAAAATATGTGTTGGAAGAAAGGATAGCTTTGACAGCAAAATTTGTCTTGGAAATCACCAGAAGGGAAGGGCTGTGGGTTCCCAAGACCATGCCAAGTCTGTCCAAGAAAAAACAGAACCCATCAGTTTTAATTCAGCTGAATCAACAGGCAAATTACATCATTCTGTACGAACTGAGTTGCTCAGCTCCCCCACAAAAAACATAAAGAGCAGCTATGAAGACACTGAAGAAGTCAAGACTGTTTTGAATGCCAAAGACTCCTTGGCTTCAGGTATACAAAATGTTAAAGCGGAAGGGAAGTCCCTTCAGGAAAAGAAAAACAGTCTGGTGCCTGCCAATATCAAAGCCAAATATGGCACCACAGTAGTGGAGAAGCTGATATCAGAGGAACAGGTAAACAAAATAATTTCAATTGAGGGCATGATCATTAATAGCACTCATAGTGGGTGCCCTTAGATCAGGGGTGTCAAACTTAATTTCATTGAAAGCTGCATCAGGGTTGTGTTTGACCTTGGGGGGCATGGCCGGGGGGTGCATGGCCAGCTCGACGTCACTCATGTTGGGGGCACTTGTGGTGGCCCGAGGACTCTGCCAGTGAAAACAGGCTCCCGAACTCCGTTTTTGGCTGAGACAGCCTGCAACCCTCTGCCAGCAAAAATGGAGCTAGGGAGGGCGGCCCACAGCCTTTGCATGTTCCGTTTTTGGTTGCAATGGCCTCCTGCAACACTCTCCCAGCACAAAGGAGCTTGAGGGGATGCCTGCAGCCCTCACGACCTCTATTTTCGCTGGCAGAGGCACTGCAGGCTGGTTCTTTGCAGTTTCCAGGGCAGCCGCGTGGGCCAGATCTAAGCACCCCATGGGCCAGATTCAGTCCCTGGGCCTTGAGTTTGACATCCCTACCTTAGATGTTTTGAACTTCAGCTTGCATAAACTTCAGGTGAAGAAACCAAATCTTGGGTCATCTTAAGAATAATAACTCTACTATCACACAAATTTACATGGCCCATTGCTGCCATCAGATGCACTAAATACAGATAATCCTTGACTTCTGACCACAATTGAGCCCAGAATTTATGTTGCTAAATGAGAAATTTGTTAAATGAGTTTTGCCCCATTTTATGACTTTTCTTGCCACGTTTGTTAAGGGAATCACTGCAATTGTTAACTTAGTAATACGGTTGTTAAGTGAATCAGGCTTCCCCATTGACTTTGCCTGTCAGCAGGTCACAAAAGATGATCACATGACCCCAGGACAATGCAACTGTCATAAACATGAACCAGTTGTCAAGAATCCAAATGTAAATCATGTGATCACAGGGATAAGACAATGGTTATAATTGTGAAAAATGGTCATAAGTCATTTTTTTTGTTGTAACTTCGAACAGTCATTAAATGAACTGTTGTAAGTTGAGGACTAACTGTATAGTGCAGATAATGGAGTATTATATATTTACACACAGTTGTTGGCAAGGATGAGAAAAGAGGAGAAAATGGTGGAAGGAGAGGTAAATGTCAGAATTATGGTAGCTATTATCAGTTACATGCAGATATAAAGAAAGCAAGTTAAGAAAGTTAAATGTGGTACAGACATTCTTGCAACTGAACATGGTTAGAATATATGGAAAACAGAGATGAGTTTCAGCAGGTTCTGACCAGTTCTGGAGAACTGGTAGCGGAAATTTTGAGTAATTCGGAGAACCGGTAAATACCACCTCTGACTGGCCCTGCCTCCATCTGAGTCCCAGCTGATCAGGAGGAAATGGGGATTTTGCAGTAACCTTCCCCTGGAGTGGGGAGGGAATGGAGATTTTACAATACCACTGATGTAAAATGTGTTAATCTGACACAACTGTGGAACATCCCATTTCCTTCTGGATCTGGACCGTGCTGTGTGGGAATGGCATTGGTTCTGGTCTTGAGGTTTCTAAAAATAAATACTCTGAACTGGAAGGGATTTGGAGCATGATCCAGCCCATTCCACCACCTCCTGGCTTGTTTCATCCAGAAAGCAGTTCAAAACCTTCCTTTGGAGGATTTACTTATGGAAACTCCCAGACTGACCCATAGAACTGCATGGTGCAGAAAAGTCTATTCATACTCCTGAGGCTTTACAAGTTCAATAATCACTCACACGAAATTAGCCTATGGTATTTGTTATGTTAGGCTAGAAAGTATTTGTAGAAAAAGCAATATAGGTTCCTGTGTTTTACGCATTATATTTCTTCGCAAAGCTAATTCTGAGATTCACATGCATTACATTCTATTTATAATAATATCACTGTAGTTTGTATATTAGATAAAACATATGCTTTTTGTTAATCTACAGCTTAGAAATTTACTTTTAGAAACGCATTCTTCAGTTAGGGCAGCCTTCCAGGTGCTTTCCAGATACGATATCCATACTGTTGTCCATCACCTCCAACCAGCATAGATAATGGTATCAAGCTGAGAAAAATGGTGTTAGGCTTTTTTATTTTCACCTGGAAAATTGTGGTTACTTTAGTGATGCTTAGCTGAAGAACACCTCTTGAATTTATAGCCCTGTCTTTTGAGGAAACAGATATTATATTGTAAGGAATTTATGTAACTATAGTATAATGCTAAATATTAGCTGAATAATTAACCAGAGAGTTGGAAAGCAGGACCTCATTTACATCAAGAGCAATATATAGTTTAAAGAAATGTATAAGAAATGCTTTGAAAATGTTCAGTTATATAACTGAAAAGACACAAAGCCAATGTCACATATATTTACAGTATTGATTTATATTTATTAAAACTATACCACCAATTTTTTACAATTCACAGTCCTTTGCAACAATAAAAGCACAAAATACATAATAAAATAGAAAGAATAAATACATACAACAATCAACTAGGCAAAACAGTTCAATAAAAACATATCCATTTCAGATCACAGCAATCATATTATCCCATCCATATGAAGTGGCGTTTGCTCTCAAAAGCTTTCAGAGTCGTTCAAATTGTTCAAATTGAGCTTTAAGAGGTTGGCTTTAATAGTTTTATGGAGCAATGTCTAATTCTGCGGCAGTCTAGTTTCCATGGGGTGACTATTCAACAGGGAAAGGGCCATGACAGAGAAGTACCAGCCCTAGGCATCCAGCAATCTAAATTTTCACACTGAAGATAAGAACCCCAGCTGGTTCTGGAGAAGAGGGTCCTATTAGAGCCAAGTCATGTAGTGCTTTAAAATAAAAAGTAATACTGTACCTTTGTACTCTAAAATCTATTGATAGTTTTTTAAAAATGATCACAATATAGTGTAAAAGGACGGAAACATTTCTCGGCCACCAACATGCAAGCATTTTGCACTAATGAGCAAGTCTTCCAAGTCTTCCATTTATATCAAGTAAAGTGACAAACATACAGCTCTGATTTATCATTTAAGAAAAGTTGAATTTTATAAATCTTGATTTTTAAAGGAAAAAAATTCATTAAAATTGACTGCAGTCCAGTTAGGGTTTTGGGTTTTGGGTTTTGGGTTTTTTTCTTTTTTCTTTTTTCTTTTCTTTTTGACATAAATCCAAAACAAGAAAAAGCCTACTTTTGGCCAAATTTGATGAGCTTAACCCAGTGGTGAAATCTAATTTTTTTTATTACCAGTTCTGTGGGTGTAGCTTGGTGGGCGTGGTATGGTTTGGTGGGCGTGGCAGAGGAAGGATACTGAAAAGTCTTCATTCCCATCTCACTCCATGGGAAGGATACTGCAAAATCTCCAAACTACTCTGTGGGCCAGCCAGAGGTGGTATTTGCCAGTTCTCCAAACTACTCAAAATTTCCACTACTGGTTCTCCGAACTGCTCAAAATTTCTGCTACCGGTTCTCCAGAACCTGTCAGAACCTGTTGGATTTCACCCCTGGCTTAACCATCTGGGGAGTGGAAATTATCACTAGTCCTCTAAGTATGCTAAAACATGTTTGACAATGGCAAGCAACTTGGGATGCAAAGTGGAGATTAAATTTCATCATATCACACATACACATATATATATATATATATATATATTCCAGGCACGGCGTGCTCTTTGTGAAGCTGGACTGATCCAAGGACAGAAAAGACTCAGTGACTGGCCATTCAAAACTCTTGAGAACCCTATGACAGCTTCACCTTATGCTGATTATTATGAACTGGGTTATAATCTGAGATCCAACATTTTCCAAGGTGAGCTAGACAGATCTCCATGCTTTCTGTTTTGGTCTTACAAGTAGTCCTCGACTTACGAACACAACTGGGACCATAATTCCCATTGTAAGTCATTTTGATCATAAATTGAGTCAGAACCGACTTTAGGACAATTTTTATGGTAGTTGTAAAGAAAACCACATGGTTGTTAAGCAAATCAGGTGGCTGCTAAGGAAATCCAACTTTCACAATGGGTGTTTTTTTGTTAGAAATTGGCAAAAAGGTTATGTGACTGCAAGACATATTGCAACCAGTTGTAAACACCAAGCACCCAAATTGCAATCACCTGACTGCGGGGATGATACAACAGTCATAAGTGTGACTACAGTTCATAAGTCACTTTTCTGAGGCTGTTTTAACTTTGAACAGTCATTAAATGAATGGTTGCAGGTTGGGGACTACTTGTAATAATAGCATGATTTGGTGCTAGTAATTTAAGAGACCCCCTTCTTCCTTCAGAGGAATCATTTTCACAAATAAAGAGTTGTTTTGCTTTTAATTTTTCTGCTTGTGGGGTCAAAATGTCATCTTCAATGTAATCTGAGAGTTATTAACGTGCTGTCCTGCAGGCTTCTGCTTGTGCCAGTCACTATCTCAGTGGCAAGGGGCATTAAGCATTGTTATTCAAAACACTAACGTTGCCTTTTGGGTTTTTTGTTTGTTTGTTTGTTTGTTTTGCTTAATATGCAAATGTTCATATCAAAAAGTACAATATTTCTCCCAAGAAAAGATTTGAACCCAACTCCAAATTATAGTCAGCATCAGATATAAAAATCTGTCACTGTTTAAAATTCAAAACAGTATCATTAACTTTTTCCTGTTTGTCCTCGATCTCTGTCGATTCCAGTGATTCAGGGCAAAAATTATTATAGCAGAAGTGAACAATGTCCAAATATTCTTTCTTTAGGCGGACCATTAGAAACTAAAAGCTTGATGAAAGATTCTTATACTCCTGATGTAATAAAGAGGGCAGTACGAGATCCCAAACGTTGGCATGGAAGGAAGACTGATGATCTAGGTAAGGAAATCTGAGAACTACATGCTTAGCTTCTCTTCCTGTCAATGTTATGAGTAGATTATGTATACATCTTCAGTATTACTATAATCTAAATATTTTGATTTCATCCATTTCCTAGTTTATGAACCTCAAACTATGTGCTCAGGAACAGATTTAAAATAGTTTATATGAATTTTGGTACAGTATTCCCTTTCAGTGATCCTTACATAATTTCACTACAATGTTTACAAAAGCAGTTTTGCTGTTGCTTTTTCACTGGTGGCTCTTTTCTAGCTTCTCCAAAAAGTTAAGGATGTAGAACTCAATTAAAAAAAAAAAAAACCCAGTCCAGCAATGATTCTGAATCAGCATTGGGGGATTTTTTTTCTAGCATCAAAAAATTATGTAGAAAATTCTTGAATTTGTAGCTTGTCCAATAACTTTTGATGACAAAGGATGATTGTTGCTGTTGTTGTTTTGTATCTCATCAGGGAGATGGTTCCAGAAAAATGCCCTCAATCTTAACCTGCAGAAAGCTTTGGAGCAAAAATATGGGGAAAAGAACAAAGGCAGCAAATCCTAAAAAGGCATTAAAGAGGCATATGAGCCCTTGGTGAAAGTTATCTGCCTCTCCCTCGCAGTGAAATAAATCTCATTGCAGTCTCTGTCCTTCAATGTACATATCTATATTGATATCACTAGAAGTAAGTTCAATTCAGATGAATAGGGAAAGCCTGTTTGTCTTACTACTGACACTTTATAGACACTTGATCACACAAATCAGCATATAAAGTTTTCAAAGGTCAGAATTACATCACTATTTGCTAATTTCAAGAGGCAACCAAATGTTACTGTTCATGGATCCAGTTTAAAAGTTGGTGACTCTTCATTAGTCATGTAACAGATGAAAGCTTTCCAAAAATGTTATACAGAAGGTATAGACTTCTTTTTAATTGCACATGAAAAAAAAATCATAAAAATGATGATAGTTCTGGGGTGGTTGCAGTGGTGAAATCCAATTTTTTTTACTACCGGTTCTGTGGGCGTGGCTTGGTGGGTGTGGCAGAGGAAGGATATTGAAAAGTCTCCATTCCCACCTCACTCCATGGGAAGGATACTGCAAAATCACCATTCCCACCCTACTCTGGGGCCAGTCAAATGTGGTATTTGCCGGTTCTCCGAACTATTAAAAATTTCCGCTACTGGTTCTCTGAAATGCTCAAAATTTCCGCTGCCGGTTCTCCAGAACCTGTCAGAACCTGCTAGATTTCACCCCTGGGTCATTGATATCCTAAATAATCAGTCCAACTGCAGGCTGATATCTGAATAGGGAAGTCCAACCTTTATTGGTAGAAGTGGATGTAGTATGAAAACAATGCAATAGTGCCCAAAATATTGCCTCTGCAATGAGGATGTTTTCCATAGTGAAGCATGTTTTTGCAGGGTAAAGTTTTTATTAACAAAATTCATTGCACAAGACAATAATTATTGATTTCTTCCCAGCAGGCATTTCCCTTCTAATAAGAGTTTGTGTTGTTGAGAATTATATGAAAGAAATCCAGTGACTGTTATATATCAAAAGCAAAGTCATATTATTATATTTGTATCTATGTTAAAAATTCATATTTGCACTTCTTTCTCCTGTATCTTCTATGCAGTAGATTGGATGTCCTTGCCTTTGGGGCAGGAGGCCTAGTTTCCTTCTCTCTCCGACTTTGGCAGAGTATATATTTGACATCAATTTGTTTTTTTCTGATTGTGCAAAAAATAATCCTTCCATAGCACAAAAGAGAATGTGATTATTATGTATTTAAGGGCTAGGGAGTTTTTATTGAGGAACATTTTTCAAATGTCTTGGCAGATCTGGGAGATGACCTGTAGCTTACTGTCAGCAAATTTTGTCTCCAAAGGTGATTTGGTGACTTTTTGAAAGATTTCTGGAGGCTGGTGACCCACAGGTGCTTCTTGACTCTTACAGTCTCCCTTGGTTTTAGAGCCAGGAAAGAAACAGTATTCACCTTCTTGATATAAGAAAACAGGGCTTCTGCCTCCAACACTGAATATAAGAATGTCCTGCTTAGATTCCTCCATGGCAAAAACTAATTCATCCTTTGACACAGAACCCGAGATAGCAGAAAAGCCCATAAGATAGTCATTAGATTCTTCCTGGGATTTTGCTGAGCGATCACCAATATCTTGATCCATAACTAGGAGGATTGGTTTGGATGTATTTTGACATAACTCTGAATTTGAGAGATTTTCATTAGTTTTGGGCATGTGTGTAGAAACTATAGCTGTATTAGCACAAGGAAGCATCCCTTCCTCTGAGGCCAACTCAGATAATGGCCATAAACACCCCTTTTCTTTGCTTATTGATATATCAACTGTAGTAATGTAATCTAGTGGCAAATTTTGACAGTGGCTATTTGAACTGGGAAGACACCCTGTAGTTTTCTCATTCTCCAACTGTCCACTTGCCTCCTGGGTTTGAGTTGGTTCTTGTCCTGTAGGAAATGACAGCTTCTCCTTCACCTCCTGATGTACATTAGACAATAAAGTATTTTCCTTTCCCTTTCCTGGCTGTTGCTGAAGAGATAACGAAGGCTGTAATAATCCCATAGACTGCGAAGATACTGGGGTTTCCTTCAGTTCTGAAGGAGTAATTTTCAAATCCTGCTGAACGGTATGTGCAACCAACTCCTCAGAGGAATATATGTATGGGCCATTAAAATCAAATATTTGTGTATTGTTATTAGGACAAATCTGGACATCGTTGGCTTTGTTGAGAAGCTCTGTCTTTTTCGTATTCTGAGACCAAAGCAACTGTGGTGTTTTCTTTAACCCATCTTCAATAGCTGCTGGGCTGCCAATCAGTAATTCCCTGTAACAGGGAAGAAAGTAACCAAAGGACAATTATTATTTATAAAGAGAGCCTCAAATAGAAGACATCAAGGCTTAGATGAGAAAGAAATGGCAGGTGGGACAATAGAAAATGTCTTTGAGAGAACTAAATGATACTTTGTACAGGTAGTCCTCGACTTACAACTGTTTAGTGACCATTTGAAGTTACAACAAAAAAAAGTGACTTGTGACTATTTTTCACATTTACAACCGTTGAGGCATCTCCATGGTCACGTCATTACAATTCAGATGCTTGACAATGGAATCATATTTATGACAGGTGCAGTGTCCCGGGGTCATGTGATCATCTTTTGCAATGGGGAAGCCAGATTCACTTAACAATGGTATTGGTAACTTAATAACTGCAGTAATTCACTTAACAACTGTGGCAAGAAAGGTAGTAAAATGAGACAAAACTCAACTAACAAACATCTCACTTAGCAACAGAAATTTTGGGCTCAATTTTCGTAAGTCGAGGAGTACCTGTGTTTAAAACTACATCAAAGTCTTCCGGTTTCCTGAAAGTTTGCTTTTTCTTTGCAAAATAGGATTTTATATTCCAAGCTCATTCACAGGATGCTTTAGAGCAGGGGTCTGCAACCTTAAACACTCAAAGAGCCATTTGGACCTGTTTCCCACAGCAAAGAAACCCCGGGAGCCACAAAACCCTTCCCGTGCCTGACTATTTTTTGAGCGGCCACAAAACTAGCATATGTAGTTGAATGAAATGTTCTGTTTTCTTCTGAAACTTTTCTTGGATTTATCCATGGTTGGCCTACCAGAGGTTGAAAAGCTCAATAAATTGCGTGCTGGCGGGTGTCACACATTGGCAGTTGTAACGCATATTTTGAGTGACAGGGAGCTGCAGCAGAGAGGTGAAAGAGCTACATGCGACTCCAGGACCGCAGGTTGCAGACCCCTGCTTTAGAGCAATATTTTTCAAATTTAAAGTATGTGAAGGCAGACCCGTGCAGACTGATAGAGGCAAATGAAATAACACAAACAGCCATAACATTCCTTTTTTTAAAGTATTCTCAAATGGCAGAAGAAATGTTCTGCACCAAGACTTTTTCATGGTCCCAGATATAAGGCAAAAAATGTTATTGCAACCTTTATGATTTGTAAATAATACCTGCTCTGCTAGTTTAATAGTTACACAGATCAAATCAGCATGTGTTTAAAACCATTAAAACAATCACTATAGGTCATCATTGACTTTGACCTCTAATTGAGCCTAGAATTATAGCCATAAATTGTCATTAATTGGGTCACCATGTGATTGGACCCAATTTTATGACATTTTTTGCAACGGTCATTAAGTAAACTCTACAGTTGTTAAGCAAATCCATGTTATCCAGTGGGCATTTTTTTTGCCACAAAACGGAAGCAAATGAGAGAAACCAGCAAAAAACATCAAAAATCACACTACCCTGGGATGCTGCAAATGCCCATGAAGTTGAGCAGGTTGCCAAGTGGCCAAAAAGTAACCCCTGACTGCAGGCAGGTGTGGCTGTCGTAACTTCAAACTTAAGTCGCAACTAACTTTTGGAGGAGGGTCCATCATAATTTCTAACAGACATTTAGTGTCCAGTCATAAATTAGGGACTACCTGTATATGACTATGTAACATTCATTGCTATAGTAACAGTCGATTTTTACTTCTTTCTCATGGATTAGAACTTCCTCCCAAAACTTCCTAAATTTGTGATGTTGCCCAGCCTTTCCAAAATCTCAAACTGATGCACCGTTATCATGAATTTCTGGGACTTGTTCATAGAGAAATACAAAGTTGCTGTGCTGTATGGAACCATTGCATTACTGTGTAGTGTTTCTTATCAGTTTCATGAATTTATGGTCAAAATACTTTTTTTTTTTTTTACAACTTCATAATCTTTCTCATTGACTGAATTTAAGATCCAATCTACAGTGTTTTTGCTTTGTTTAAAGCAATCATTGTAATCTCTGGCTCCTCCATAAGCAAACAGCCTAATTCATTCTCCTGGTTATATTTTTCTTTTAATATTTTATGCTGCTCCATAAACATTTACAATTTTTTTTTCAAGAGGACTGCAGCTTCTATGGGTTGCTAAGTAAACTGTCAGTCTTAAAGTATTCCTTGATAGATTGGTTTCAGAGTCCAACTGCCTGCTTGCAAGTGTAAAGTACAAACCAGCTACCAGTTATTGAGGGCCAAAAAAGGGTTAATTGCTAGTTCTTTGAATCTACAAAACAGAGTACTTAAAATTCACTTGGTCAGAAACCTCAGCAGGCAGGAAAGTATTGACTTTTTACTGAAAAGTTACTCGAGATGTGCAAATACAAACATATATAAGCCTGTCTATACTTTTCAATTTTCAATTTCACTTTTTCACAAATCTGAACACTAAAGAAAATTACTGGAGTTTTTAAAAATGGTAGCAATTAGAATCCACAAAGGATATGCTCTGATATGATTAAAAAGCATTTGGCCTGTCTTATACATTCCTAATATGTTGGGTTTTGCCTCAGTTTCAGATTTTTATATACAGTAATAATTAGAAGTACCATATATTTATTGTGTCTTCTAAAGGTAATTGAATTTTCAGGAAATACTGTGAGTGTAGTTCCTTCCACACACAAGGCATAGATTGTGCCTAGCATAGATCCTAGCATAGATCCTGCTTAAATCCTAGTTGTTAATAGCAATAGCATTTAAATTTATATACTGCTACATAGTGCTTTACAGCCCTCTAAGCAGTTTATAAAATCAGCATATTGCCCTCAACAAT